ACAGGGATTTCAATGACCTTACTTTTCTTGGAGTCTTTATACAATTCTAATTGGATAATTTGGAGCAAGATCAAAAAGTCTCTTTTGGCAATTTTAAGATACGTTTGGTGGTTTTTTTTTTTTTTGGTTTTTTTTTTGTTTTTTTTTTTTTTGTGAGATTGAGTCTCACTCTGTTGCCCAGGCTGGAGTGCAATGGCACGATCTCCGCTCACTGCAACCTGCACAGCCCAGGTTCAAGCAATTCTCCTGCCTCAACCTCCCAAGTAACTATGACTACAGGTACGTGCCACCACGCCCAGCTAATTTTTGTATTTTTAGTAGAGAGAGGGTTTCAGCATGTTGGCCAGGATGGTCTCAATCTCTTGACCTCGTGATCTGCCCGCCTCGGCCTCCCAAAGCACTGGGATTACAGGTGTGACCCACTGCATCTGGCTTACTCTTGGGTTTCTTATAAAGAAAAGAGGATAGAGGAGAGTTCTTTAGGATAATACAAGGATTCTACATCACTGTTCAACTCAGAAAGAGAGATGGGCAGATTTCATATCTATGAGGGGAAGTATAAGCAGTAGATGCTAAGAGTTATTTTCCATGTATGCTTAATTCAGGATATACAACAAGAATTTCGTGAGTTCCATCACATATACTGGTGGATGGAGGTAAAGTGTGATGATTATGAAACAGGTGTATGCCATCAAAGAGCACGCCAACCTGCATAAAGTGGAGGGTGGACAAATTAACAACCCCCAACCCCCCCCAACCTACCAGATGCCTAAAGTATATGGCACATATTTGGATTTAAAAAAACTGTGGTGGAGGGATGGCTTTGTTGAATAACTTGATTTGCCCTATAGTGTCATTTTATGCTAACCAATGGAATTTTGAAGAATGCTCCCAAAGGCAATGGATTTTTGTTTTGTCTTAGTTAATGTTGAGCCATTATTCCTGGCTGCTGTTAGGTTCAATTGTCTCTTCAGACTACTCCCCATGGTTGATAATAAAACCATTATGAGAATAGGGCAGTCATCCAAAGCCTAGGGCTTGCTGAAAGCTCTGGCAGGGAAAATGGTAGCTTGGGATTAGGAAACAGGAAGGGGCAGCTAAACTTTGAAGTTCTAACATTTATTTCCTCCTCCTGAATTGAATCAGGGATATATATACACACACATGCACACATACACATATATTCATGTATTTATATAGGTATGTATATACGCAATTCTTTTTTTTTTTTTTTTTTTTTTTGAGACAGAGTCTCAACCTGTCACGCAGGTTGGAGTGCAGTGGTGTGATCTCAGCTCACTTCAACCTCCCCCTCCTGGGTTCAAGTCATTCTCCTGCCTCAGCCTCCTGAGTAGCTGGGATTACAGATGTGCACCACCATACCCAGTTAATTTTTATATGTTTAGTAGAGACTGGTTTTAACCACGTTGGCCAGGCTGGTCTCGAACTCCTGACCTCAGGTGATCCACCCACTTCAGCCTCCCAAAGTGCTGGGATTACAGGTGTGAGCCACTGTGCCTGGCAAATTTCTTTTCTTTTCTTTTTTTTAACTGTATTTTCTCCCAGTCTTGATCCATATTTGTTTCCACTTATGAAACGTAGCATACATACCCTTTTATGTTCTGTTTTTTTGGTGGGGAGTCTCTCTATATTGCCCATGCTGGTCTCGAACTCCTAGGCTCAAAAGATCCTCTTGCCTTGGCCTCCCAAAGTGCTGAGAATACAAGTGTAAGCCACCATGCCAGCTGATTTTTAAATTTTCTTTTGTGTGTGTGTGTGTGTGACAGAGTCTCACTCGTGTCGCCCAGGCTGGAGTGCAGTGCCACGATCTCAGTTCACTACAACATCTGCCTCCCAGGTTCAAGCGATTCTCCTGCCTCAGCCTCCTGAGTAGCTGGGATTACAGGCGCCCACCACCACACCTGGCTAATTTTTGTATTTTTAGTAGAGACAGGATTTTGCGTATTTTTAGTAGAGACGGGATTTCGCCATGTTGGCCAGGCTGGTCTCGAACTCCTGACCTCAGGTGATCTGCCTGCCTCAGCCTCCCAAAGTGCTGGGATTACAGACTTGAGCCACTGTGCCTGGTCTGATTTTTAAAATTTTTATGTATTTATTTGTTTTTATTTTTATTTTGAGACGGAGTCTTATTCTGTCACCCAGGCTGGAGTGCAGTGGCACAATCTAAGCTCACTGCAACCTCTGCCTCCTGGGTTCAAGCAATTCTACTGCCTCAGCCTCCTGAGTAGCTGGGGCTACAGGTGTGCCCTACCACACCCAGCTAATTTTTGTATTTTTAGTAGAGACAGGGTTTCACCATGCTGGCCAGGCTAGTCTCAAACTCCTGACCTCAGGTGATCCGCCCACCTCCGCCTCCCAAAGTGCTGGGATTACAGGTGTGAGCCACCGCGCCTGGTCTCTGTTTTTTTTTAACTATTAACTTTTCCTTTTTTGTGTTCTACTGCATCTTCTCAGAATTGTGTTCTGTCACCAAAAGCAGTTTCAACAAACGCAAAAACTGACTAATGGGATCTAATTAAACTAAAGAGCTTCTGTACAGCAAAATAAATTATCAATAGAGTAAACACAACCTATAGAATGGGAGAAAATTTTTGCAAACTATGCATCCTACAAAGGTCTAATATCCAGCATCTATAAGGAACTTAAACAAATTTACAAGAAAAAAAAAACCCATTAAAAAGCCATCAAAGGACATGAACAGACACTTTTCAAAAGAAAACATACATGCAACAAATAAGCATATGAAAAAAAGCTCAACATCCCTGGTCATTAAAGAAATGCAAATCCAAACCAGAGTGAGATACCACTTCACACCAGTCAGAATGATGATTATTAAAAAGTCAAAAAATAACAAATACTGGCAAGGTTGCAGAGAAAAAGAAACACTTCTACCCTGTTTGTGGGAGTGTACATTAGTTCAACCATGGTGAAAAGCAGTGTAGTGAATCCTCGAAGAGCTAAAAACACAACTGCCATTCAACGCAGCAATTCTGTTACTGGATGTATACCCAAAGGAATACAAATCGTTCTACCATAAAGACACACGCACTCGTATGTTTATTACAGCACTATTCACAATCGCTTCCAAATGGAATCAGCCTAAATGCCCATCAGTGGTGGACTGGATAAAGAAAATGTGGTACATATCCATCATGGAATACTATGCAGCCATAAAAAATAACGAGAGCATGTCCTTTGCAGGAACATTGATGGAGCTGAAGGCTATTATCCTTAGAAAACTAACATAGGAACAGAAAACCAAATATTGCATGTTCTCACTTATAAGTGGGAGCTAAATGATGAGAAAACATGAACACGTAGAGGGGAACAACATACACTGGGGCCTACCGGAAGGTGGAGGGTGGGAGAAGAAAGAGGATCAGGAAAAATAACTAATGGGTACTAGGCTTAATACCTGGGTAACAAAATAATCTGTGCAACAAACCCCCATGACACGGGTTTATCTATATAACAAACCTGCACATGTACCCTTGAACTCAAGGTTAAAAATAAAGAATTATTATTATTATTATTATTAGTTTGAGTTGGAGTCTTGCTCTGTTGCTCTGGCTGGAGTGCAGGGGCATGGTCTTGGCTCACTGCAACCTCTGCCTCCCGGGTTTAAGTGATTCTCCTGCCTCAGCCTCCTGAGTAGCTGGGATTACAGGCATGCACCACCACACCCAGTTAATTTTTGTATTTTCAGTAGAGACGGGGTTTTCCCATGTTGGCTAGGCTGTTCTCAACCTTCTGACCTCAGGTGACCCACCCATCTCGGCCTCTCAAACTGCTGGAATTATAGGCATGAGCCACCACACCTAGCAGAATTATGTTGTTTTTAAACTTAGCATTATATAATGTTTTAAATAATGTTATTTAGTCCTTATGAGTAGATTTTTTAAAAAGACTCTTTCCTGGACGGGCGCGGTGGCTCACACCTGTAATCCTAGCACTTTGGGAGGCCGAGGCAGGCGATCACCTGAGGTCGGGAGTTTGAGACCAGCCTGACCAACATAGAGAAACACTGTCTGTACTAAAAATACAAAATTAGCTGGACGTGGTGGCACATGCCTGTAATCCGAGCTGCTTGGGAGGCTGAGGCAGGAGAATCGCTTAAAGCTGGGAGGCAGAGGTTGTAGTGAGCCGAGATCACCCCATTGCTCCAGCCGGGGCAATAAGAACAAAACTCCGTCTCAAAACAAAACAAAACAAAACAAAATACCTCTTTCCTGACTGTAAAAGTAAAGCATATCTGTCATTTAAAAAAATACAGATAATATGTGAAGAAAGTGAAAAATTACCTTGGATATTTTGAAGTGTATCCTTCAAGACTTTTTTCTATGCATATATAAATATATATGTACAAAAATGGAATCATACCATACATGGTTTTAGTTCCTGTTTTCCATGTTAATAAATATATAGCGGCATATTTAATGTTTTTATGAATATACCGTGATTTATATATTCTATTAGTGACATTGCAATTGTTTCCAAATTGTCACTATTGTAACAGTCCTCATCTTCTCTCCTTAGGACTAATTCCTATAAGTAGAACTGATGCGTCACAGAGCATGCACATTTAAACACTTTTAAATACACTGTTTACCAATCTCACTGCCAGTAGAGACGTATGTAAAGGTTCCTTTCCCCTTGCTCTTGCCAATATAATTATCCTTCTTAATACTCACAAAATAATCCAGAATTAATGCTCAGAAAATAAACCTTCCATTTTGGAGGCGGATAAGTGGAAGGTTTATTCTTCCCCTTACAAAAAAAAAAAAAAAAAAAAAAAAAAAACGTTTGCTGAACATCCTGGCATAGAGGACAAGTGAAAAAGTTTCGGGACTCAAAGGTGCTCCTCCAAAGCCCCGGGCCTCCGGGCTACCCCTACTTGAAGCCGCTATGACCCTGTCCTGTGCCCGGGGTGGCCGCTGGGTGGCGAGGGGAGGCCCGGGCCAACGGCGGTCCCACCGCACTGTCGCGAAGGAAGGCGAAGAATAGGGCCACACTGAGTGGGGACAACTGGGCCGCGGGCCCAGAGGACACGAAGGAAGGTCCGGGAGAAGAAATTCCAAGTTTCAGGGAAGAAAAGGTGGCTCGAGTGGGGAAACTGTGGCGGCGACGGTCTCTCATTGCCGGGACCCCGCCGTGTGCCGCCCAGGGACGCGAGGGGGCGCTGCTGCCGCGCCAGGGGCCAGGGTCCTGAGGTCCCCTGAGCGCCTCCCGGCCCTGCCCGGCCGGCTCAGGCTACACCCGGACTCTGCCCACCGTGTTTCCGCCGTCGACGTCGAGTCACTGGTGGGCTCGCGGGTGGGAAGGGCCGGGGTGGCGGGACTTTCGCCGACACCCCGCGCCCCGCCTGGTGGCTGCGCACACTAGGCCGGCGACGGGACTGCCCGCGTCTCAGCCCCTCCTCTGTGAAGCGAGACCGCTGAGGTACCTGCCCCAGGGAAGGCCGCGGGGAGGGTTACAGAGCCCTTAGGCACTGGCGGGGATCTTTATACACCCCCAAAACACATCCCACCCAGTACTCAGCACCCCGCACCCAACACCCAGCACCAAGGGCTTATTATTAACAACTTCCTGGAGGCCGCATGGGCAGTACGTGCTCACTGTGTCCCTTCTCCCTTTCAGCGCTCCCTAGACCTCTGTCCCAAATCAGAAAACAATCTTACAAACTGTGCTTTCTCTTGGGGAGCCCCCACCACGGCGTAACCCAGCAGGCAGGAATGGCACACGTGCAGGAAAATGAGTTCAAAAGCCTTACCAGGTGGTGTCAGAATCAACAGCATCTGACAGTACCCTTGGGAGAAGGGGCGCCAGCCTCTCCTGGCGAGCTGTGCGCTCTGCCAGAGTCCTCGCTCGACCCAGCACATCTTGCTCCGTTCCCTAGTCCAGATCCTAACAGGAGGAGCCAGCTGCGGCCACCCCTAAGAATGAGGAGATGGGAGCGGGGTGGGGGGCTGGGCTCTGTGTTGGCAGTTGCCATGGCTTTGCTCCGAGTTCTGGAGCCAATCTGCCCACTCCCTGAGACGGCCAGGTCACAGAAGCAGTAGGTCAGAAGCCAGAGGGGACGTGGGGAGTGCCACCCTGGAGCCTACCGGCACACCTGCTGAGATGGAGGCCTCAGATGGGCAAGGGGGTGAAGGGGACAAGCCACTAGAGAAGGTGAAGTGGGGTGTGAGGGAGGGAGGGAAAGAGCGTCCCGGAGGGGCTGGTTTTGGAAAGTAGAGAACACGAAATTCAGGAAAGAAGAGAAGAACAACGGTAGGGTACCTGAGATAGCAACAGGCCTAAAGCACAAGAATGTTCATTCATTCAGAAGTTTATGCTTGACCTGTGTTTCCGGCGATACGATGGGGAAGAGGTCGCCTCTCGTTGTTGGTTATTAAGACTTGAGAGTATGTGTGTGTATACACATGGTCTGTGTGTGGTTGTGTGGTGTGTGTGCTGTGTTGGGAGAGTTGATCGGCCAGAGTCCTGTCTCCAGGACCTAGAGGAGCCTGTGTCCCATCTCCTCTCCATGCACCTCCCTCCCTTTCCCAGGCCTTTCCTTTCAGAGTGGTCTGGACAGGTTCTTCCTTGTTCTCCTCCAACACAGACCAAAATTCATACTTTTCTGAGAAGATGTTGAAAGGTGGCAAATCCAGTTCTGACGTCCAGTGTTATTTCACAGTCACTTTGCTGCTACTCATTTTCAGCTTTCTTTTTTCTTTTTCTTTTTTTCTTTTTCCTTTTTTTTTTTTTTTTTTTTTTGAAATGGAGTCTCACTCTGTCACCTAGGCTGGACTGCAGTGGCATGATCTTGGCCCACTGCAACCTCTGCCCCCTGAGTTGGAGCAATTTCTCCTGCCTCAGCCTCCTGAGTAGCTGGCATTACAGGTATGCACCACCACACCCAGCTAATTTTTGTATTTTTGGTAGAGACAGGGTTTTGCCATGTTGGCCTGGGTGGTCTTGAACTCCTGACCTCAGGAGATCCACCCATCTCGGCCTCCCAAAGTGCTGGGATTACAGGTGTGAGCCACCGCACCCAGTTTTGCTCCATCACCCAGACTGAAGTGCAGTGGCTCCGTCTCAGCTCACTGTAACCTCCGCCTCCTGGGTTCCAGCAATTCTCCTGCCCCAGCCTCCCAAGTAGATGGGATTACAGGCATGCACCACCACACTTAGCTGATTTTTTTGTATTTTTGGTAGAAATTGGGTTTTGTCATGCTGGCCAGGCTGGTCTTGAACTTCTGGGCTCAAGCAATCCACCCACCTCAGCCTCCTAAAGCGTTGGGATTACAGGTGTGAGTCACTGTGCCTGGCCTAATTTTCAGCTTTCTTTGCCCCACTGTCATGGTCAAAGGTTCTTTCTTGTCATCACCATCATTCACTTTTTCTGAATGGTCATTGGATGCATGGTTTATTAGTCCATTTTGCATTCCTATAAAGGAATACCTGAGGCTAGGCAATTTATAAAGAAAAGAGGTTGATTTGGCTCACAGTTCTGTAGGCTGTACACGAAGCACAGTGCCAGCATCTGCTTCTGGTGAGGGCCTCAGGAAGTTTACAAGCATGGCAGAAGATGAAGGGGGAAGCAAGCTTGTCATATGGTGAGAGAGCAAGCAAGAGAGAGAGGAGGATCTTTCAGACTCTTGTTACCAACCAGCTCTCACATGAACTGACAGAGAACTTACTTAATTAGGGCAGGAAGGGCACCAAGCCCATTCATGAAGGATCCACCCCCATGACCCAAACACCTCCCACCAGACCCCACCTCCAACACTGGGGATCACGTTTCAACATGAGATTTGGAGGGGACGCACATTCAAACCATATCACGTGACATGATGCTAGCAGCTAGGGATGCAAAGAAGTGGGCCCAGTCTGATGCAATCAGTAAACATTTGCCAAGTGAGTGAGTCAATGAATCCCTGTTCATTCCCCCAAGGAGTTGCTTCAATCTTTTGATGCCTCATTGTTCTAATCTGTGACCAGGGTTAATGATATTGAAACTGTCCCTAGAAACTTTATAAAATTAATCAGGAAAAAAGAGGGGAAAAATGAAAATTAACTGAGCTTGCAGCCCATTCAGCATAAATCACGAGGTCAGCCTGCTCTCTGATGCACTTCCTTGGAGTTCTTTGGTGCCTGTTTCCTTAGATTCCGTAGACGCAGCTGGGTGCGGTGGCTCACTGTAATCCTAGCACTTTGGGAGCCAAGGTGGGTGGATCACTTGAGGTCAGGAGTTTGAGACAAGACTGGCCAACATGGTCTGTACTAAAAATACAAAATTAGCCAGGCGTGGTGGTGCACGCCTGTAATCCCAGCTACTCAGGAGGCTGAGGCAGGAGAATCACTTGAACCCGGCAGGCAGAGGTTGCAGTGAGCAGAGATCATACCACTGCACTCCAGCCTGGGTGATAGAGTGAATTAAAGAAAAAAAAAAAAAAAAAAAGCCGGGCACAGTGGCTTACGCCTGTAATCCCAGAACTTTGGGAGGCCGAGGTGGGCGGATCATGAGGTCAGGAGATTGAGACCATCCTGGCTAACACGGTGAAAACCTGTCTCTACTAAAAACACAAAAAATTAACTGGGCGCGGTGGCACGTGCCTGTAGTCCCAGCTTACTTGGGAGGCTGAGGCAGAAGAATCACTTGAACCTGGCAGGCGGAGGTTACAGGGAGCCGAGATCGCGCCACTGCACTCCAGCCTGGGCAACAGAGTGAGACTCCATCTCAAAAAAAAAAAAAAAAAAAAAGAATTCCATAGACATTGTTACAAGATGATATTTCCTTAACTGCTCTGTAGATAACAGCTCGAACATTACGAAGCATTGAGTTTTCTCTTTCAAATATTATTTCAGGTTCTACATATCACTCAAACTACAGATAGATGGCAGGGGGTCTAAAGAACCCCTCAAAAACCTGATTCATCAGAGAATGCAGTTTCCATGTCCACATAATTTCATCCCCCTGACCCTGACCAGTCCATGACCACAGTTTTTTCAATCCCTCCTCCTCCATGGTCTTAAAAACCCCAGTCCAGAGCTCCTTGGGAAGATAGACTTGAAGGACTCCTTCCATCTCCTCACTGAGCACCCAGCAATCAATAAACTCTTTCTCATAGTGACGTGATCTCGGCTCACTGCAACCTTCACCTCCTGGGCACAAGCAATCCTCCCACCTTGGCCTTCTGGGTAGCTGGGACCATAGGTGCACACCACCGTGCCCAGCCAATTTTTATATTTTTTGTAGAGACCAGGTCTCACTATATTACCTAGACTGGTCTGCTGCAACTTTTGCTGTCTCTATATATTGGACTGTGAGTGTCCAGCAGGCATATAAATCTGTTGGTCCTATAACAACACCTAACCTGACAGAGTTTGTGGGAGGATAAAGTGAGTTAATGTTTACCAAGTGCTTTGTAAAGTTACCTAGTAGAATATGCTATGATTATTATAAAAGAAAGAGGTGGAATATTCTATGTTTTCTAAGCCGAGATTTTCAGAGATGGGTTTCTTTGCCCAAGGCTCACTCACATCTGTGCTGGGTCAAGAAGATCAGAGGGCAGTGGAGAAGGGCTTTGGCTGCCATTTGGGTCAGTACCTGCCCAGCACTGCCCCCAGGAGTAACGGTCCAAGCCCCCGACTTAGTGCCCCCTGCCTCCTCCCAGGTGACAAATGTGCCATGCCTGGAGACAAGCTCCAGCACCAGCCCTGCCAGAGACTCGCTCATGCGCCATGCCAAGGGCCTGGATCAGGACACCTTCAAAATTGTGAGTAAAGAGCCAGCCTGGAACCCTGTCCCCTTTTCCCCATTGGTCAGGAGGCCTGAGTCAGGAAATGACAAGCCTCAGACCCACAGCGCATTGCCCCAGTTGTCTTACTCTTGGGAAGGACTTTTGGTGAGACGTGCACCGGAGCCACCCCCCGAAACACGCAGCACTGGGCCACTCAGGGCTGTGGTATCTGCTGGATACCTGGGACTGCCCATCTGCCTCTTCTTTTCTCCCATGATCCCTCACCTCACCTGTTGCCTCCTCAGTGTAAAGAATATCTAAGACCACTGAAGAAGTTCCTGCGAAAGTTGCACCCGCCCAGGGACCTTCCCCAGAAGAAGAAGCTGAAGTACATGAAGCAGAGCCTTGTGGTCCTAGGGGACCACATCAACACCTTTCTGCAGCATTACTGCCGAGCCTGGGAAATCAAACACTGGAGAAAGTAAGGCAGTCTCTTTGCTCTGCTCCCCATACCTACTCCTGGGCAACCCCCTCTTCATTCAAGGGGATACCTTAGTTGATCCCCCAGTCCTTCATCTTTATGTGGAGGAGTCAGGAGCCTGGTGGGGTGGAGAGAGCTCCTAGTCACTCAGGACAGCCCCGATTGCACCTTGTCTCTGACTGAACGACTGTGTGCAGGCACTCAACACCAGGATAGGATATTCAAGTTTGGGCAAATCCCCACCCCTCCATTCCCCCAACCCCAAACCCCAAAGGGGCATGTGGTCCATATTCCCCTGGGTGGGTCCTGACCCTGAGACAAATGCTGGAGGGAGGAAGCATGTGCTCCGCCTCCCCAGCCTGAGGTCTCCCCCTTTGCAGGATGCTCTGGCGGTTCGTCTCCCTCTTCTCAGAGCTGGAAGCAAAGCAGCTTTGCCGACTTTACAAGTACACCAAGAGCAACCAGCCGGCCAAGTTCCTGGTGAGGCATGAGACCTTCCGCCCGGGCACAGCTGAGGGTTGGTTGGTGTGTCTTTAGACTTGTGGGGAGGCCTGGGACTGATACACCCAGAGCCCCTCTGGTTCCTCCCAGGGCTCACTGCCAGGGCAAGACTCTGCTGCTCGACCTTTACCCCTGCCCTGGGCAGAGTGGGCTGAAGAGGCCGAGGCTTAGCATCAAGTTCTCCATATGTATTTGATACAGGGGCAGGCGAGCCCCCAAACTGGGGCTCAGCCCGGGAAAGTTCTTGGTTTTGCCCAGAAAATAATTTAAGGGTGAGCTGGTGGTATTAAACAGTAAGTTTATGGAAGCGGCCGTGTAGAGTAGCAGCAGAGGCACTGCTCCTTGTGGAGCAGGGCTACCCTATGGGCAGTGTGCCCAGAGTAGCAGCACAGGGGCAGTTCTGTGCTCATATTTATCCCCACTTTTAATTACATGCAAATTATGGGACGGTTATTTGGAATTTACCAGAAAAAGGGTGGTACTTCTGGGTTGTTGCCATGGAAAGGAGTCGCAACTTCCTAGTGTTGCTATGGTAATAGTAAACTGACATAGCATTGGTAGGTGTGTCTTAGGGAGAGGTGCTTACACCCCTTCCCTGTTTCAGTTAGTCTTTTTTTGAGATAAAGTCTTACTCTGTCATCCAGGCTGGAGTGTCATGGCGTGATCTTGGCTCACTGCAATCTTCACCTCCTGGGTTCAAGTGATTCTCCTGCCACAGCCTCTCAAGTAGCTGGGATTACAGGTGCATGACACTGTGCCTGACTAATTTTTGTATTTTTAGTAGAAACGAGGTTTCACCATGTTGTCTGGGCTGGTCTCGAACTCCTGACCTCAGGTGATCTGCCCGCCTCAGCCTCCCAAAGCGTTGGAATTACAGGAGTGAGCCACCGCACCCAGCCTACCACTCTTCATGTTGTACGGGCTATAGGTTTTGCCCAATGTATGATGACATGTATCTACCATTACAGTACGATACAGAAGAATGCCGTGGTCCTAAAAACCCCCTGTGCTCCATCTATTTGTCCTTGCCCTCCTGCCCCCACTCCCCTGACAACCACTGATCTTGGTTCACTGTCTCTGTAGTTTTGCTGTCTCAGAATGTCGTATCGTTGGTATCATACAATATGTAGCCTTTCAGATTCATATCAATGAAATTTTCATAGTAGGTTTCATTAGAATCCATTGGTTTCAGGAGGTCCATGAGGTCAAAATATTGCAGGGACTCCTGGGTGTTTGCAGAGCACACTTTGAGAACCACTGGTCCAGAATAATAATCATAGATAAAGCAGTTGTAAAGGCATTCTACGTGCCAGGCACTTTATGTCCCTTTGAGTAATATTCAAAAGTAACCCTAAGTGGTAATTAGGATTATTGTCCGCAGTGTGTAAAAGAGGATCCCAAATACAGGGAAGTAAGTTAATTTGTCACACTCTTTATAGCAAGTAGGAAGGAAGAGGCAGGGTTCAGCCTCCATCTGTCTGGGATGAGAACCGTGCTCTAACTGCACCCTCCTTTCACCACTCTTGCCGTGCAGCCCTAACCAGGTCCTCTCCCTCTCTGCAACTGATTCTTCCTCTGACCATGTAATGATTGGATCATTTCAGAGATTTCTCTTCTTAATAAGAGGAGCTGCCACTTTACCGATTTCTAGATTTCTGGATTTCACTGGCCTGAATTTTTTTTTTTTTTTTTTTTTTTTCTTTTTGAGACAGAGTTTCGCTCTTGTCCCCCAGGCTGGAGTGCAATGGCAAGATTTTGGCTCACTGCAACCTCCACCTCCGGTTCAAGCGATTCTCCTACCTCAGTCTCCTGAGTGGTAGGGATTACAGGCATGCACCATCACACCCAGCTAATTTTTGTATTTTTAGTAGAGATGGGGTTTCACCATGTTGGCCAGGCTGGTCTCGAATTCCTGACCTCAAGTGATCTGCCCTCCTCGGCCTCCCAAAGTGCTAGGACTATAGGCATGAGCCACCACACCGGGCAGAAAAATTTATATATATATAGTCTTTGAATTTTAATTTCAAAATTCAGGCTGTCAATTTATTTCATTTTTAAAAATTTTACTTTTTTTTAAACAGACTCAAAGCTTACAAAGTCTCCCAATTTTTTTTTTTTTTTTTTTTTTTTTTTGAGACGGAGTCTTGCTCTGTCGCCCAGGCTGAAGTGTAGCGGCATGATCTCGGCTCACTGCAACCTCCGCCTTCAGGGTTCAAGGGATTCTCCTGCCTCAGCTAACCGAGTAAGGCTCCCAATTTAATTTTTGCTAAGTTAGCTAATGAAATATCATTTCATTGCAAAAAACCAGTAAGACACTGCAATTCCAAAAAGAGATGGAAGACATGATCTCAAAATAAAGGACGACCCAGGAAGACATCATTGGCAGCCTCCCTCCATGTCCCCACAGTCCTTTCTCTCCCACATCTGTGATTCCTACCCCATCCTTTTGGTTAGCAAGTGCGAGGGGCAGGCAGACCTCAGTATTTCTCAACACATGCGGGGCCGGGACTCTGAGTTCAGGTCCCCCTCTTCTCAACACTCTCCTTAACATGGAGGCTCCGTGGCAGGTGGCGTTCTGCGCCTCGGATGCGCCGGAGAGATCCTTGCTGGCCGACCAGGAAGACAGTCTGCCGAAGCTCTGCGATGCCTGGGGGCTGCGCGGCAACATCAGCGGTGTGAAGGAGCGGCTGTCCAAGATGCAGGCCCCGGGTCAAGGGAACCCCCTGCCCGGGGAGCCAAGATCCCAGGATCATGTCAAGAGAGGTAATGCCCATTTGGTGTTGGGGTGATGCCTGGACCCAGGGGTTTGTGAGTGGTGTCTGGGTGTTCCCCAAGAGTAGACTCAAGCAGCCAGGAGCCTCTGCCCCGAGCCTGACAAGTTCCTCTTCCCTCCTTTCCATCTTCTCTTCATCCTGCATTTTCCTTTCTGTCCATCTTTTCTTCTCCTTCTCTACTTTCTCTTCTCTTTTTAGTCCCCCTCTTCCCCAGTTGTGCTCATTATAGAAAGGTTTTTGTTTTATTTTATTTTATTATTTATTTATTTTATTTATTTTATTTTTTCCAGATGGAGTCTCGCTCTGTCACCCAGGCTGGAGTGCAATGGCGCTATCTCGGCTCAATGCAACCTCTGCCTCCTGGGTTCAAGCGATTCTCCTGCCTCAGCATCCTCTGCAGCTGGGATTATAGGTGCCCACCACCACGTCTGGCTAATTTTTCTACTTTTAGTAAAGACAGGGTTTCACTGTGTTGCCCAAGCTGGTCTTGAACTCCTGAGCTCACACAATCCACCCGCCTCAGCCTCCCAAAGTGCTAGGATTACAGGCATGAGCCACCGTGCCCGGCCTTTTATATTTTACTATTATTATTTTTAGAGTTTTTGTTTTGTTTTGTTTTTTGAGATGGAGCCTCACTCTGTCGCCCAGGCTAGAGTGCAGTGGTGCAATCTTGGCTCACTGCAACCTCTGCCTCCTGGGTTCAGGTGATTATCCCGCCTCAGCCTCCCCAGTAGCTGGGATTACAGGTGTACACCACCGTGCCCAGCTTTTGTATTTTTAGTAGAGACGGGGGTATCGCCATGTTGGCCAGGCTGATCTCAAACTCCTGGCCTCAAGTAATCTGCCCACCTCGGCCTCCCAAAGTGCTGGGATTACAGGTGTGAGCCACTGTGCCCGGACCATCCCAGTTTAAGTTGAGGATATAAACAGACAAGAGAATGAAGACCAGTCTATAACAAAGATGCTCTGGGCCAAGCAGTCCATGACTCAGATGAGGAAAGTGAGCTCTGGGTTTCTGGACTGGCTTCTCTCTGTACCAGGGGCTTTGTATCTGTTAATTTCACTCAACTTCTTTAGCATCCTGATGAGATAGGTGTTATTATCTCCCTTTTACAAACAGCTGTCTGAGGCCACAGGGCAAAGGATGTGTCAAACGAGACAGGCTGCCTGAAGGAGGTAAATTTGGGACAGGCTTTAAAGAAAGGGATAAGGACATGGATGAAGGAAAGGAGGGAAGTGGGAATAAAGTGCAGAGGTGAGGGGCAATGAGTAGGCAGCCTGGGCTTGGTGGTGATTGGAAGAGAATTTGAGAGGTGCATGGAGGGAAGTAACAGGAAAAAGTCTTTGATGATGGGTTTCATGCAGTTATTAAAATTAATAATGTTTTTATTAGTTTAAATATAAACATAGAGAAAATTTGATTATACAGATAAGCAAAAATAAGGAAATATAAACATCACATTGTCATCACCACTATTAACACTTTCCAGATCTTTTTTATGTATATATGTGTGTGTGTGTGTGTGTGTGTGTGTATGTATATATATACATAAAACAGATACATATATTTTGAGATGGAGTCTTGCTCTGTTGCCAGGCTGGAGTACAGTGGTGCGATCTCAGCTCACTGCAACCCCTGCCTCCCGGGTTCAAGCGATTCTCCTGCCTCAGCCTCCCACGTACCTGGGACTACAGGGGTGCACCACCATGCCCAGCTAATTTTTGTATTTTTATTAGAGACGGGGTTTCACCACGTTGGCCAGGATTGTCTCAATCTCTTGACCTCATGATCCTCCTGTCTCAGTCTCCCAAAGTGCTGGAATCACAGGTGTGAGCCACTGCACCCGGCCATAAATATATATATATATATATATTTTTTTTTTTTAGATGGAATTTTGCTCTTGTTGCCCAGGCTGGAGTGTAATGGCATGATCTTGGCTCACTGCAACCTCCGTCTCCCGGGTTCAAGAGATTCTCCTGCCTCAGCTTCCCAAGTAGCTGGGATTGCAGGCACGCGCCACCATGCCGGGCTAACTTTGTGTTTCTAGTAGAGACAGGGGTTTCACCCTGTTGGTCAGGCTGGTCTTGAACTCCTGACCTCAAGTGATCCACCCGCCTTGGTCTCCTAAAGTACTGAGATTACAGGCCTGAGCCACCATGCCTGGCCTAAATATATATATTTTAAATGAAATGAGATCATGCTGTACATGCAATTTTGATTTGGAGTTGCTTTTCTTTTTTCTGAGATGGAGTCTCACTCTGTTACCCAGGCTAGAGTGTAATGGCGTCATCTCAGCTCACTGCAACCTCTGCTTCCCGAGTTCAAGTGATTCTCTTGCCTCAGCCGCCTGAGTAGCTGGGATTACAGGCACGCCCCACCACGCCGTGCTAATTTTTGTATTTTTAGTAGAGATGGGGTTTTACCATGTTGGTCAGGATGGTCTCAATGGAGTTGCTTTTTTTAAGTTAATGGTATCAACCTATCTTTTTTATTTCTCTCTCTCTTTCTCTCTTTTTTTTTTTTTTTTTTTTTTTTTTTGGTGTGTGACAGGGTTTTTCAGTCCTCGCACCCAGGCTGGAGTGCCGTGGCTTGATCTCAGCTCACTGCAACCTCCACCTCCTAGGTTCAAGTGATTCTCTCGCATCAGCCTCCTAAGTATCTGGGACTACAGATGCACACCACTGTGCCTGGGTAATTTTTGTATTTTTTGTAGAGATGGAGTTTTGCCATGTTGTCCAGCCTGATCTGGGACACCTGGGCTCAAGCAATCCACCTGCCTCTGCCTCTCAAAGTGCAGGGATTACAGGCGTGAGCCACCATGCCTGGCTCTGTATCAACATTTCTATGTCAACATTTTCATTTCATCTAATAATTGGACTAAATACTCCATATTCAAATTTTCCCTACAGCCAGAGAACTTTTGCACTGGCTTCTCAAACCATGCATTTCACCTGGTCATGCCTTAGGTTTAAATCTTTAAACCTAAGAAAGTCCTTTTTTTTTTTTTGAGACAAAGTCTTGCTCTATCACCCAGGCGGGAGTGCCATAGCATGATCTCAGCTCACTGCAATCTCTGCCAGGTTCAAGCGATTCTCCTGCCTCAGCCTCCCGAGTGGCTGGGACTACAGGCACACACCACCACGCCCTGCTAAGTTTTGTATTTTTAGTAGAGACGGGGTCAGGTTGGTCTCGAGCTCCTGACCTCAAATAATCCGCCTGCCTTGGCCTCCCAAAGTGCTGGGATTACAGGCTTGAGCCACCGTGCCTGGCTGTTTTCTTTGTTTGTTTGTTTGTTTGTTTTACATTCCTGACCTGTTGAAAAGATGAGGCTTCTCTTCAGCAGTCTGTTCTCCTTCCTGATTTATTCCCTGTTGCTTCTTTTTGCCATCTTTTAGCTTGTTCCTCTAGAAACAGGACTTGAAAGTCTTCATGGGTTCAAATTAAATGTGTTTTTGGCTAGAGGCTACATAAGAGATGAGGTTATGCTCTTCCCATTATTACCTGACAAAGCACAGAATAACTCGTGGACCCACCGGGAATGGGCTAAGATTAGTCACTGAGTCTATCCTTGCAATGAAAATAACCTATGTGATATTTCTTTGGCACTATGTTAATAAAGTCAGTTATTTTATTTTTGATTGATTTATTTTTTTGAGACAGAGTCTCACTCTGTGGCCCAGGCTAAAGTGCAGTTGTGCAATCTCAGCTCACAGTAACCTCAGCCTCCCCGGTTCAAGTGATTCTCCCGCCTCAGCCTCCCGAGTAGTTGAGATTACAGGCATGTGCCACCATGCCCGGCTAATTTTTATATTTTTAGTAGAGATAGGGGTTTCACCGTGTTGGCCAGGCTAGTCTCAAACTCCTGACCTCAAGTGATTCATCCACCTCAGGTTCCCAAAGTGCTGGCATTACAGGCGTGAGCCACCATGCCTGGCCATAAAGTCAGTTCTTAATTAAAACTTGGCAATGGGGTTTGCAAACAGTACTGGGAATTGGGTCATGAGGCCTAGGAGAGGAGTAAGGAAGAATCAGAGGTTGGAGCCAGAGGTCAAGGAAACTTGGGTCTTGCCCTGACTCTTCCACTAACTTGCTGTTAAGACTTTGGGCGGGTCATTGCCTTACCCTGGACCTGGGTGACAGTCCTCGTCTGTAAACTGGGGACAATGCCATCTCTCTACAGGGTTTCTGTGAGAAAAGACTAAGTGATATAGGTGGGAAGCAAGGTAAGATTTTGCTATTCTTCCTCTCTGCCCCTACAACACCCCCCATGTATTACAGACTGAGATTCTTACTGTTTGTGATGTCACTGTGACTGTCTCTGACCTTCTCTTTTTCAGATTCTTCAAGGGAGCTTTCTCCAAAACCAAAACTCAAGAGAAGGAGAATAAAGGAAGCCCCAGAAACTCCAGAGACTGACCCATAAGAAGACCAGCTGAGACAAAAGGCCAGCTTGCCCTGGCTCTCAGAGCACGGGGAATGGAGACCAAAAAGGGAAAAGAATTGTCCTTATCAAAAGGATTCTCAGGTCTTAATTAGGAATAAATGAAGTGGGAAATAAACATTCTTTTGACAGTTCTACCTCACTTGGCCAATAGCCATCATTCATACATTTTTAATTTGTTTGAAAAATATTTGCCAGCCACCTTCTAAGTGGCAGGTGTCCCACATATGCACAGATGAATAAGATGTGGTTACTTTGTCGTGGACCATCACAGTCTAGTGGAGCAGACAGACATAGAAAAGATACAACAGCAGGTGACTGGAGCAGACCTCAGGGGAGTTAACAAAGGAGCTGGGTGTTTGCCAGGGGAGCACACAGGTAGGGAGGGAGGGAGGGAGCCTGGGGTCAGAATGGCAAGCCTGGCAGCCTGCCTGCATCATCTGGACTTCATTTAGTGGGTAGCTTGGGATGGGCAGTGGCAAGGGATGTGTCAAGCAGTGGAATGAATGGGTGTGACTAGGATATTGGGGAGATGTTCTGGTGACTGTGAACAAAGTGCATGGTAGTGAGCAAGGCTAGAGGCAGGAGACCAAACAGGAAACAACACTGATGGTCTTAGCTAACATGATGGCTCGAGCCAGCAGTCACAAAACCACAGCCTGCACACTAAAGTAAGGCTACCGATGTGTTTTGTTTGTCCCTGGTCATGTTCTACTTGTTTAAAACACTTTAAGGCTGGGCATGGTGCCTCATGCCTGTAATCCCAGCACTTTGGGAGGCTGAGGTGGAAGATCGTTTGAGCTCAGGGGTTCCAGACTAGCCAGGGCGATATGGCAAAACTCCATCTCTACAAAAAATTAGTTGTTCATAGTGACATGCACCTGTAGTCCCAGCGACTTGGGAGGCTAAGGTGGGGGAGTTGATTGAGTCCATGTGTTAGTCTTTTTTCCCACTGCTAATAAAGACATACCTGAGACTGGGTACTTTATAAAAGAAAGAAGTTTAATAGACTCAGTTCCACGTGGCTGGGGAGGCCTCACAATCATGGCAGAAGGCAAATGAGGAGTAAAGTCACATCTTACATGGCAGCAGGAAAGAGAGTGTGTACAGGAGAACTCCCCTTTATGAAACCATCAGATCTCATAAGACTTATGAGAACAGCATGGAAAGAAACCCACCCTCATGATTCATTACCTTCCACTGGGTCCCTCCCACAACAAGTGGGTATTATTACAATTAGAGGTGAGATTTGGTGGGGACACAGAGCCAAACCATACCATTGCACCCTGGCCCTTCCCAAATCTCATGTCCTCACATTTCAAAACCAATCATGCATTCACAAAAGTTCCCCAAAGTCTTAATTCATTTCAGCATTAACCAAAAGTTCAAGTCCAAAGTCTCATCTGAGACAAGGCAAGTCCCTTCTACCTATGAACCTGTAAAATCAAAAGCTGAGTTAGTTAGTTCTGAGATACAATGGAGGTACAGGCATTGGGTAAATTCACCCAAATCCATTCCAAATGGGAGAAATTGGGCAAAATGAAAAGACTACAGGTCCCATGCAAGTCCAAAATCCAGCAGGTCAGTCAAATATTAAAGTTCCAAAAAGATCTCTTTTGAACTTCATGTCTCACATCAAGGTCATGCCGATGCAACAGGTAGGTTCCCATGGTCTTGGGCAGCTCCGGCCCTGTGCCTTTGCAGGATACAGCTCCACTCCTGGCTGCTTTCATAGGCATTGAGTGTCTGCCGCTTTTCCAGGCACATGGTGAGCTGTTGGTGGATCTACCATTCTGGGGTGTGGAGGGCAGTGGGCCTCATCTGACAGCTCCATCAGGCAGTGCCCCAGTGGGAACTCTGTGTAGAGTCTTCCCACCTTACATTTTCCTTGCACACTGCCCAAGCAGAGGTTCTCCATGAGGGCTCCACCCCTGCAGCATACCTCTGCCTGGACATTCAAGCATTTCCATACGTCCTCTGAAATCTAAGTGGAGGTTCCCAAACCTCAATTCTTGACTTCTGTGCATCCACAGGCTCAACACCATGTGGAAGCTGCAAGAGTTGGGGCTTGCACCTTCTGAAGCTATGGCCCAAGCTGTACCCTTTTAGCCACGCTGGAGCAGCTGGGCTCTAGGGCACCAAATCCCGAGGCTGCACATAGCAGGAGAGCCCTGGACCTGGCCCAGAAAAACATTTTTTCCTTCCTAGACCTCTGGGCCTGTGATGGGAGGCATTTCCAAGATCTCTGACATGCCCTGGAGACATTTTCCCCCATTGTCTTGAGGATTAGCATTTGGCTCCTCCTTACTTATGCCAATTTCTGCTGCAGCTTGAATTTCTCCCCAGAAAATGAGTTTTTGTTTTTCTATCACATCATCAGGCTGTAAATTTTGTGAACTTTTTTTTTCCAAGCCAAACTGTATCCAGCTTTATTAAAGATACTTTCCATAAACAATCATGGTATTTCAGGTAGGACATGGGCAGACAATCATTAACAGTATACAACAACTTTCAAACTCCCGGGATTCTTCAATGCACTACCAAAAAGAAAGTCACTATAAAACCCAATGAAATCTTCATCTGATGCTCTGAACAGGGAAAGTTTAGAGTGAAGGTTGATGTTTCACATTCAGCATGTTGTTTAATAGCTTTTCACAAGCCAACCCTGACTTTCAGGAAGTGAAATGAAAATAGTAGAATTTATCTGAAGATTCACAATCTAGAAATGGAACCACTGCTCTTTTGACAGGTGCCATCTCAGTGGCATCACTGGAAAGTCCAGATTGTCTGACACACTGGTAACCAATGACTAGGGATCAGGTCCCAACAGACGTCTGGGCTTAAGGGAGTTAAGTCTATGCTGAAAGGTGTAAAGGGAGAAGAGGACGTAAAAACAAATTTGTTTTTCCATACCACAGGCTTTTGTGCCAAGGTAGCCATGTGTGTTAAAAGTAGGGAATCCCTCTTCCTGGGAGCCAAAATGAAGTCTCTCAAAAATAGAAGTGAAAGGTGTTTTCCCCACATCAATTCAGCTTCGGAGACATTCTATTAGTGACATATGCCTCTTCCCCCAGAAACAACAATGAAGTGTTCTGTGTGCTAACAGCATAGCTTAAAAAAAAAAAAAAAAAAAAAAAGTGAAATAAAATTCTGCATTTTTATAAAACTTGATAAAAAATAGTATTTCAAACTGTATAGTCACCAGATGTACACACAGTTATCAAAAATGCACACACTTCACTTGGCATCTCCAGCACCTTCAGCTTTCTGTGCCTGGTCTGTTTTGGCGTCTCCATTTTCTGCAGAGTTATTCCCCTCCTTGCCAGCATCAGCTTTTCCCTTTTTCCCTTTGGGTAGCTTCTCTCCCTTCTCTGCAGGGGCCTTTTTATGCTTGGGCTCCGGCCTTGGAAAAGCAGGTTTAGCAGACAACCTCGGGAATCTTCTCTGTGGTTCGTCCTTCATCTTGACTTTATCTTCTTTAACATCCCCTTCGGCCTTTCTCTTGGGCATGGTGGCGGCGACCATGGCATCGGGACTAGCCACTGGGCGCAGGATGCAGCGGCGTGGGGTTTGGTCGGTCCGGGGATCGTTCTCGCCTCTTCTTCCTCCAAACTTTGTGAACTTTTGTCATTTCCTGGAGGGAAAGTAGGTCCAATCATTCCCCAAAAACATAAATGACATATTCTCCAGAGCTCTGCCTGAGGCAGCGGCATTTAGGGTGCAGGGCTGCCCTGGAAGCAGGAGAGGCCAGGGCGGATGGGTGTGACTCTTCTTCCTCCCTCCCTCGATTTGTGTTCAGAAGTGAGTATCGTCACAGACTTACAATGCTAAACTGAACATCAATCTAGTCTCGAAGAAGGAGTTCAGGGAAGCATGAAAGGGGGAAGCGGCCCTTTCTTTCTTCCTTATCGTCACCGCCTCCTAGAAGTGCCAAGATAAGACCTCCAAGGCACAGGCCTGGGGCCAGCCTGGCTTGATTAGACCCTGACAGTTTTGTCAAAGCAGGGAGGATTTCAGAGAGACGGGAGGTCGGGCAGGAGGGTGTCCATGATGACTACGGGCTTTCCAATGTTTTCTACTCCTGAGAGATTTCACTGACAAGTGGAATGTGGCTGTTTTGGGAACAGTCCAAAATACGAAGTGTCCCTAGTGGGCAAGGCAGCACTGCCACCTAGAGGAATTGTGAGACACTACAGCCTTGTTCTTTCAACCAACGTGTGCAAACCAGCGTGTTTACAAAAGATGAAGAGGAGAGAAGGGGGCCAAGGGTTCCCTTATCAACTTTGAGAACCAATCGGGACGCCTAAAGGCAAAAATAGACAACAGGTGAGGCTTGGTTTTGAAGCTTTCTTTTTTATTTTTATTTTTTCCTTAGATGGAGTCTCGCTCTGTCACCCAGGCTGGAGTGCAATGGTGCAGTCTCGGCTCACTGCAACCTTCGCCTCTCAGATTCAAGCGATTCTCCTGCCTCAGCCTCCCAAGTAGCTGGGCTTACAGGAGCGCGCCACCATGCCTGGCTAATTTTTTTTGTATTTTCAGTAGAGACAGGGTTTCACCATGTTGTCCAGGCTGGCCTCGAACTCTGCTGGCCTCCGCCTACCAAAGTGCTGGGATTACAGGAGTGAGCCACCACACCTGGCCAATTATTATATTTCTTGTTTATTAGCTGTCTTCTCCCTTAGAATGTGAGTTCCACAAGGTTAGAGATTTTTGTCTGTCCTGTTCATTGCTGTATCCAAAACAATTACAATAGTATTCAGCATGTAATAGGTACTTAGCAAACTTTTAATGAATGAACGAACCCAAAACAGAGAATTCTGACCAACCACCTCCTCGTTCAGAGGGGAAAACAGAGGCCCAAGAAGAAAGGCGACTTTTCTAAGCAGAACTGGAACTACAACTCAGGTCCCCCAGGCCAGCGCACTTCCTACATACCAATAATGTATGTTTCACCTACTCTCAGCCAACGCACTCATTTCTCACAAGATGGAACTAACCCTCAAGACTAAAATGTATTACTACTTCTCCTTCTTCTTCTATTTTTTTTTTTTTTTAAGACAGTCTCACTCTGTCACCCAGGCTGGAGTGCAGTGGTGCAATCTCGGCTCACCACAACCTCTGCCTCCCGGGTTCAAGCGATTCTCCTGCCCTGCCTCCAGAGTAGCTGGGATTACAGGTGTGCCCCAGCACGCCCAGCTAAGTTTTGTATTTTTAGTAGAGATGGGGTTTCACCATGTTGTCCAGGCTGGTCTTGAACTCCTGACCTCAGGTGATCCACTCACCTCAGCCTCCCAAAGTGCTGGGATTACAGGCATTAGCCACTGTGCCTAGCCAAAATGTATTACTTCTCCTAGGATTGTTTTTATTTTTTAAAAGTATCTCTACCCAAAAGTATAACGTTGGACTTGGGAACACCATAGACAGGTTGTTGGAGAAGCTATTGGGAAGTGGGAAGCCTTGGTGGAAATCCCCAAATCATACCTTGGCCTATGCTGTCTTAGAGATGAGGCTTATCCTAGAGAAAATACCTCACTAACGGAGCCTTCAAGAAGAGTCCTTTTCCTTAGAGAATAAAGGGTTCTTTCCCTAAAGTTTTACTTTTAGTTTTTTAAGAGATGAGGTCTCACTCTGTTGCCCAGGCTGGAGTGCAAAGGCATGATTACAGCTTGCTGCAGCCTCAAACTTCTGAAGGTCTCAAGCGATCTTCCTGCCTCAGCCTTCCAAATAGCTGAAATTCCAAGCAGGAGCCACGGCACCAGGTGACTTATCCTAGCTTTAAATGGAAGAGGCTCCTAACCGCGAATGTAATGACTACTGCCTGACCCACTCCTATCCCAGTCTCTCAGGAGTCACCCAGTTTCCTCTTTATAATAATTATCACAAATGCATGTAACTCGGGAGACATGGCAGAGTTTTACATCCATTCTCATTGGATTTTTGTGTCAAACTTGTGAGGGAAACTCCTTCTCCCCATTACAAAGAAAACAGGCTAGGGCCAGGCTGGGTGGCTCACGTCTGTAATCCTAGCACTTTGGGAGGCCAAGGCAGATGGATCACTTGAGGTCAGGAGTTCGAGACCAGCCTGGCTAACATGGCAAAATCCCATCTCTACTAAAAATATAAAAATTGGCCTGGCCAGGCTTGGCGGTGCGTGCATGTAATCCCAGCTACTCTGGAGGCTGAGGCAGGAGAAATGCTTAAACCTAGGAGGTGGAGGTTGCAGTGGTCCAAGATTGTGCCACTGCACTGTAGCCTGGGTGACAAAGTGAGACTCTCTAAAAGCAGGAGAAGAAGGAGAAGAGAAGAAGAAGAAGAAGAAGAAGAAGAAGAAGAGAAGAAGAAGAAGAGGAGGAGGAGGAGGAGGAGGAGGAGGAAGAAGAAGAAGAGGAGGAGGAGGAGAAGGAGGAGGAGGAGGAGGAGGGGGAGGGGGAGGGGGAGGGGGAGGGGAGGGGGAGGAGGATGAGGAGGAGGAGGAGGAGGGGGAGGGGGAGGGGAGGGGGAGGAGGACGAGGGGGAGGAAGAAGAAGAAGAAGAAAGAAGGAAAAAGAAAACAGGGGCTTAGGGGCTGACTTAGTTGAGTTGAGATGCTGACTGTCCAAGCTTTTTTGACTCCTCCACACACAGTGCTCTGTCTTTTTATGATTTTTCTTGTTTTTGTATACAGATGTTTGCTATTTTTTTTATTTTTTTTTTGAGACGGTCTTGTTCTGTTGCCAGACTGAAGTGCAGTGCGCGATCTTGGCTCACTGCAAGCTCTGCCTCCCGGGTTCATGCCATTCTCCTGCCTCAGCCTCCCGAGTAGCTGGGACTACAGGCGCCCGCCACCACGCCCGGCTAATTTTTTGTAATTTTAGTAGAGACAGGGTTTCGCCGTGTTAGCTAGGATGGTCTCGATCTCCTGACCTCGTGATCCACCTGCCTCGGGCTCCCAAAGTGCTGGGATTACAGGTGTGAGCCACCGTGCCCGGCCTTTTATTTTTATTTTTAATTATTATTTTTTTTGAGACCGGGTCTGACTTTGTCACCCAGCCTGGAGTGCAGTGACATGATGATAGCTCACTGCAGCCTCGATTTCCTGGGCTCAAGTGACCTTTCTGCCTCAGCCTCTTGAGTAGCTGGGACTACAGGCATGTACCATCACGCCTGGCTAACCTGAAAAAAGTTTCTTTGTAGACATGGATTCTCGCCGTGTTGCGCAGTCTGGTCTCAAACTCCTGGCTTCAAGCATCCACCTGCCACGGCCTCCCAAAGTGCCGGAATTACAGGCATGAGAATTTGTGATAGGAAAAGAGTATACAGACTTGAAAAAACAATAGAACGTTTACAAATGAAAAATAACTATTCACGAGCCAGGCACAGTGGCTCAAGCCTGTAATCCCAGCTACTCAGGAGGCTGAGGCAGAAGGATTGCTTGAACCCAGGAGTTTGAAACCAGCCTAGGCAATGGTGAGAACCTGCCTCAAAAACAAAACAGAAACACACACCTCATGGCTAAGTGAAACAGAAGGCAACATCTGGATCATTCTTAGCTCATAGAGAGAAATAACCAGTCATTATGTAACAAGAAAGAAAAATACTCAGACTTTAAAATTTAAATAGCAGCAAGAGTGAAAAAGCCTGATTCTGTACTTGGAAAGAATTTAAATGCAAATCAACTTTCACTTGTTACACCAAAATTCTAATTCAAAACTAAATTACGCTAGAGGTTTTTCAAGGCACTTTCTGGAAGTGATCATTCACAGATTTTTTTTCAAAATTTATGCATCATATTTAACTGCTTATGCAAAGTGAAGTCTGATTTTTTTTTTTTTTTTTTTTAGGAGTCTTACTCTGTTGCCCAGGCTGGAGTGCAGTGGTGCAATCTCTGCTCACTGCAAGCTCCGCCTCCTGGGTTCATGCCATTCTCCTGCCTCAGCCTCCCGAGTAGCTGGGACTACAGGCGCCCGCCACTGCGCCCGGCTAGTTTTTTGTATTTTTAGTAGAGACGGGTTTTCACCGTGTTAGCCAGAATGGTCTCAATCTCCTGACCTCGTGATCTGCCCATCTCGGCCTCCCAAAGGGCTGGGATTACAGGTGTGAGCCACCATGCCCGGCATGAAGTCTGATTTTTAAAAATTGTGGTAAAATACACATAAAGTTTACTGTCTGAAATATATATATATATATATATTTTAGACGGAGTCTTGCTCTGTCACCCAGGCTGGAGTGCAGTAGCACAATCTCAGCTCACTGCAACCTCTGTATTCCAGGTTCAAGCAATTCTCCTGTCTCAGCCTCCCTAGTAGCTGGGACTACAGGCACGCACCACTACACCTGGCTAATTTTTGTATTTTTAGTACAGACAGGGTTTCACCATATTGGTCAGGCTGGTCTCAAACTCCTGACCTCAGGTGATCAACCCGCTTCAGTCTCCCCAAGTGCTGGGATTACAGGCATGAGCCACTGTGCCCAGCCCCGTCTGAACCATTTTATGTGTAAAATTCACTAGTATTAATTTTCACAGTTTTGTGAAACTAATCTCCAGAACTTTTGCATCATGCAAAACACAAACTCTAGATCCATTAGTGCAGTGGTCCCCAACCTTTTTGGCACCAGGGATTGGCTTTGTGGAAGACAATTTTTCCACAGATCGGAAGCAGGGGGAGGTGGGGTGCTTTTGAGATGATTTAAGTGCATTACATTTTTTTTGTAATTGAGACAGGGTCTCACTGTGTCATCTAGACTGGGGTGCAGTGGCACAATCACATTTCACTGCAGCCTCAACCTCCCAGGCTCAAGCAACCCTCCAACCTCAGCTTCCTGAGCAGCTGGGACCACAGGCATGTACCACCAGACCCAGCTAATTTTTTGCATTTTTTGGCAGAGATGAGGTTTTGTCATGTTCAGGTCTTGAACTCCTGAGCTCAAGCGATCTGCCTGCCTTGGCCTTCTAGAGTGCTGGGATTACAGGTGTGAGCCACCGTGTAAAGCACATTACATTTACTGTGCACTTTATTTCTATTACTATTACATTGTAATACATAATGAAATGATTATACAGCTCACCATAATGTAGAATCAGTGGGAGCCCTGAGCTTGTTTTCCTGTACTAGACGGTCCCATCTGGGGGTGATGGGAGACAGTGACAGATCATTAGGCATTAGATTCTCATAGGAAGTGCATAACCTAGACCCCTCACACGGGCAGTTCACAATAGGGTTCACCTAATGCTGCCACTGATCTGACAGAAGGTGGAGCTCAGGCAAGTGATGAGGAGAGGCTGTAAATACAGAAGCTCCGCTCGTTCACCCACCCACTGCTCACCTCCTGCCATGTGGCCCGATGCCTAGCAGGCCACGGACCCCCGGGGGTTGGGGACCCCTGCATTAGGTAACTACTCCCCATTTTCCCCTATCCCCAGCTCCTGGCAACCACTATCCTACTTTCTGCTTCTATAGATTTGACTACTCTAGATGCATCATACAATAGAATCATACACTTGTGACTGTCTTATTTCACCGAGCATAATGTCTTCAAGGTTTGTCCACATTATAGTTTATGTCAGAATTTCCTATATTCTTATGGCTGAATAATATCCCACTGTATGTATATGCCATATTTATCAACAGGTTCTCATTCTCTCACCCAGGCTGGAGTGCAGTGTGGCGTGATCATGGCTCACTCAGCCTCGACCTCCTGGGCTCAAGCAATCCTCCCACCTCAGCCTCCTGAGTAGCTGGGACTACAGGTGTGTGCCACCACGTCCAGTTAATTTTTTTTTTTTTTTGTATTTTTTTGTGGAGACAGGGTTTCACCTTGTTGCCCAGGGTGGTCTTGAACTCCTGGGCTCAATCCTGCGTCAGCCTGCCTCCCAGAATGTTAGGAATACACGTGAGCCACCACGCCTGGCCTGCTATATTGATCTGTTCAGGCATTGATAAGACATTTGGGTTGCTTTTGGTTTTGGCTATTGCAAATAATGCTTCTACACAGTTACCTAAATATCTGTTCAAGACCCTTTCAATTCTTTTGGATCTATACCCAGAAGTTGAATTGCTGGATCACAGAGTAATTGTGTTTTTAATTTTTTGAGCACAGGTGACTTTTTCACAGCACATGCAGCATTTTACATTCCTGCCAACAGTGCACAAGGGCTCTCATTTCTGCACATCCTTGCCAACACTTATTTTCTGTAATAGCCATCCTAATGGGCATTTGTCTATAGAAATGTGTGCTTAAAGTAACTGAGTGTGGTTTGCTAACACACTCAGGACAGTATCTGTCACAGGGTAAACTTTGTTTCTTGAAAAAATACACAACTCAGCAGTTTACAAGTTGGAAATAGTCTTAATACTGTAAGTTATATGGCCACATGGTAATTGCTTTAACAAAGCTCTAAAATACTGCATTACTACCAAGTGGCAACTCAAACTTTAAGGGAAGGGTTCCCTTGATCTTTGAGCTTGACAGATGAGTAAGACTATCCAGGAAATGACATTCCACAAAGCAGATGAAATAGCATGTTCAGAGGTTGTCATGGAGATGTAAAAAGAAACATTTTTAAACTCAGTATCACTGAAGGTGGCAGGCAATGAAGCTGGTGCTCACTATATTCCAAGTGATGAGGGGATTCTGTCTACAGTATTTTCTTCCTAATCTTTAAAAATATGGCTTCGTTTCCTGCAACTGGTTTCTGAGTACTTCAGACTTACGTTGTTTCATGGTGAAGTTTTTTAAAGACCTAATTTCACCCCCTTATTCAAGTGAGGAAATAAAACACAAAGAGGGCTGGAATGACATCACTCAGTCTTCCAGTTCAGAGACAGCTGGAACTGAAACTCCAATCTAGGGTTTTCTTTACAATTCCAACAGAACTTTATCAGGTCTCATCATTTTCAGCCTTTAGAGTGAGAGGATTCTTAAAAGAATGGTATACTTTTGTAAAGACTAAAAAATCCCGTTGCATTAATGCAGTGCTTTGTTTTTTTCAAAGTGCTTTTCATCAGCACAATCTCCAGATGTTACCATGTGCCTCCTCTGCCACACATCTTAATTTTCTTGAACAAGAGCACTTTTGTTCTAGTTCCAACAGTTTCTCTCACACTGTTCTCTAATAAAAACAGTCTGCAAAGCTTAATCCCAACCAAAAGCAATCAAAACCGAATTGGAAACAGATACACTATGAATGCAGGAACACTATATTTATTAGGTCAATAATTCATTTTTAGCAATACAAGTACAGAATAATATCACAATGCTGGTTACAAACATACTTAGTATGGTTTAATAGTTACAAATAACGGTGGGCACTACAAGTTGGTGAGAATGATATGAAAGGTCATCCTGACACAATGAAGAACTGTCTTCAAAAATCTATTTAATGACCTTAGATATTTCTATAGAAATTATTGTGGCACTATTAGTGGGGATTTTCACGTAAAGATTGTTAGTGTTTTGCTTTTAACTGTTACATTAAGAACTTTTAATTTTGACTAAACTAAAATCCCCTGATGCTTAATAAAGTATAAAAATAGTACTGACCTGGTAATATTTAATAAAATGTAGCATTCATTCACATCATAAAAGTAGAACTAAACTGAAAGTTTTAGTTACCATGGCAAAATATCTTCCCATAAAAGGAATATACAGAAATGAGTAATGTTACACAAACAGTACCTGCAATGGTTATTTAGTGATCCAACACTTAACTGTGCACCACAAACCAAGTTTTCTAGATATCTATATAGAGCATATAATTTTAATCTTAAATTTTACTCTTGAAAAACATGTGCACTTCAACAAACTCACTAAGGCCACTCATGCTATAGATACCTAGGATTGCAATTAAAGAACAGTATTATGCAATAAGTCCTAAAGCACACTTCTTCTGATTATCAACAGGGTAAAACCAGTTTTCTGCCTAAAACATTCCTGAGATTTATGGACAAAAGTAGTGTTGAAGTTGGAGATTAATCCAAATGTCATATTAACAACAAAAAATTTCCTAGCCAGGCGTGGTGGCAGGAGCCTGTAATCCCAGCTACTCGGGAGGCTGAGGCAGGAGAATTGCTTGAACCCGGGAGGCGGAGGTTGCAGTGAGCCAAGACGGTGCCATTGCCCTCCCAGTCTGGGCAATAACAGCAAAACTCCGTCTCAAAAAAAAAAAAAAAAAAAAAAATTCCTGGCAACTAAGGTCCTTCACAGCCAAGAGGTGAAATACACATTCACTTTTAAAGCAAAGGTAAAACTCTAAAAAATTTGTACTTATAGTGTTTTTCCAGTAGTAACTTTGCCACCCGGGGGGGGGGGGGGATAAAAAAAAAAAGGAGCAGCAAGGCTACAAATTCTAGGGAAAACATAAAAAGTGGCAGTTAACGATACCTGTTATGAGCAAATCATTATTTCTACGTATAAAGTTTCAGCCAAAGGCTTCAATCATGTTTCGGCATGTGTTTACTGAGTTTTCTGTCTGCACTATTAAGGAGCAGCCAAATGGCACCTTCATTATTTCTAAGATCGCAGCCTCTGTACTTAATTTTCATAAAATTATAAACTCTTCCCAACAGGCTAGGAACAAAGGTCTTTCTCAAATCCTTTATTTTCACAAATGAAAAAATACCTGGGCAGGGGTTACTACAAAGCAACAGTGAGTCAGTTTTTAACCAGGCAGAGACAGAGATCTGATGGTAATAAGGGTCTCAACCCCTTCGGCAAAGTCAGCTTTGAGGACCCATAAAGATTATGCTCTAAAAATTCCAATTGGCTCTATTAAATGGAATGCAGGCATGAATGGCCACCTGAGTGACACATGCGAGTGCTGACGGAGCTCCCTGATGCACCCAACTGGAGTAGCACCGAACTTTAGGAAGAGACTGGGTAGAAGAGAAGAGTCAGAGAAGGATGAGACCAAAGGCCCCTAATTTAACATGACTTTGCTGAACCTCCAGAAAAATCTTTAAGTTGGCCAGGGCTTCCTTACATACCCCACCATATGTAAAAAGTTTGTGCAAGTTAACTTATTGTGAGATAAATTTTATTATTTTCAGATTTTTAAAAAACCCAATAAATCATAGTGGCACACATCTAACTTATCCTAAACATCCCTACTTAAAGGATGAATCTTACACTTAAAGTCATAGGGTATTATTCTTCATTAGAACCAGAAATAATAACATATTAAGTCATATCCCTAACCAAAAATGGCAATCTGTTTTCTTAGCTAGTGTATGCACAAAAGTATATGGATTTACAAAACAAACAAACAAACAAAAAAAAAAACCTACATTAAAGCAGTGGTGATAAGGAGAAATTGCCAATAATGATGTTTCAAAAAAACACAACTGGCTGCCAACTGACATTATCACCCTGTGATCCTAGGCTTCTACATATCATGTTGTTTTATCACTGAGTGTGAGCTAAGTTGAGTTCAAACTGAGTTAGGGAGGATGAGGCTGTAGGTCATTTGTTTATTTTTATCCTAGGAAATGCTGTATGTGCACAAAACCAAAAAATACAGATTGAAAAAAAAAAAACTTCATATGGAAACATGTTTCAAAATATTTATTGAAAAACAATTTACCATGACATTCCTATACCACAAACATACCACTGGATTCTAAATAACCAATAAAAGTATACAAAGCCTATCCTGAAAATATCTTTGGAGGTATTAAATATATAGGCCCATAAGGATAGAGCTGAGTAACTTAAAAACGTTAGTCCTTGGTCACAAAGACTATTTGGTAATTAATAAAGAAGTGCCTCTTGACATTAGACTGCAATTAACTGAGGGGTGGGGGGCAGCTTCATAAACTGCAAGTACATCAATTTACTCTTTCCAAAATTTAAAAAGAAAATAATTCAATTTAAGGAATAAACTCAGGTTTCTAAATCACACAGTTATCATCTTAGGGTGTGGGCATGCTTCATCTCTTTCAGTACATCCCCCAACCAACCCCCTCCTAGAGAACTTAAATGCACTGGCTCAAAACTAATAGGACTGCAAATAACAGCTTCAAACAAGGTTGGGAAGTTGAAAAAAGTGCTTAAAATATTAATAAAATTTGAAATCTACAATTTTTCTATACTCAATGTGGCAGACAGCTTAGATTTTTTCCCCTCTCACCCAACATGTATGTTAAAACTAAAATTCAACACACATCCATTCACCCACAGACTACTCCCAAGCATTAGCTAAGAGCAACATCTTTAACAGCCAAGTCATGAACCCCTGAAAATAGGGGGGAACCCAGATTCTTAACTATAGAAGCATCAGATGGGCTGCTACAGTAAGAATTGAGGTAACAGCAAAATACCTTTTTGTTTCTTGAATTGCTACATGTCACAAATTCTTAAATTTGATTATTACCTCATAATTAAATAACCTGACTGGCTTACAAAAAAATCAAATCAAAACCCAATAAACAGAAAGACAAGTTAGTGAAATGGTTGTATTATTAGGGGATCTTTCCATTTGACTCCTAGATTTCAAATGAAATGACCTAGTTGTATTACTATTTACCATAAAAATGGAGGGTTTTCTAAGACTTATTTTTGGGCATTCATTTTCATTAATCTCTATAAACCATACAGTAACCTAACATTTCCATCTGAACATGAACTTTTTCATGACTCACAGTCAGTATACTTGTTAACTGCATTGATTACTAGGGCAACATTCAAAATGAGGGGGATGGCTGCAGCCGATATTTATAGACTTGCTTATGGCACTGCCATCTGTGTACCTTGACTAAAAATATGCCATTGAAATTGCCAAACTTCCCTAATTTAGTATCTATTACATAATTTTTGCATTATTCTTTTTCATTATACATCTAAATGAAATCATTCTACTGATAAAAGTATACATAGGATCTAAAATAATCATCTAAAGCCTCTGGTCCAAATAACCACCTTCTACATAAGGCTGGTCCTTTTTAGATCCTCCTGGTCCTGTTAGCAAATGCTATCAGAGCATCTTACATTGTTGTACCAAAAAAAAAAAAACAAAACAAAACAGTCAGAAGTGCTGGTCTATCAGATTTTCTGTTACTTACAGATCAACACTGGTCCAGTTCAGATGAATCTGACAGTCCTTTCCTTGTAATACAGAGTGGTTGTATCCACTTATCTGGGCAAGGTAGCCAAACATAAGTCAGGATGTCCCTCTTTTATTAGTACTTGTATTAACTTTTCTATACTGCATATAAAGATTTTCCCATAAAATTCCTTTACACTACAGTATTGAATACCTCCACATGGAAGAATTACATATTAAAAAGTTGTTAAAATCATCCTTACATAATAAGAATGCAACTCTTTTAAACTCTTAAATAGTTTTATTTAGGGGTGTGTTTTATTCTTTCAGGCTTTCTGCAAAATGAATTTTTTAAAAACAAACAAAAAAAAGATTTCCTGTTGTTTGTTCTACGAGGTTGAAAATGTGGGCCAGACTACTTACACATGCGGTACATGCTGAATATAACTGAATATATGCTTATTCCTACAGACACTCTGCAAGATAGGGATCACCCAAAATAGGGTCTTCAATGGACTGGACCAGTGTTTCAATGCAAATTCCAGCCCCCCAAAACAACATGGTTTTGATTTCACAGTATGAATTCCCTGGAATCCGGGAAAAGGTAATTGGTTAACTGAGGTCCTCCCTCAGCAGCTCGGTCCCTCAACATTCTGAGAAATCAGGAAGGACTGCACCACTTCTTCAGTGGACTGGGGGCTGGTGTTGACATCTTCAAGAGCATCTGTCACTGAATACTGCCGATCTCGCAACCGGTTCCAGTTAGACAGAACATTGTGATATTCAAACACTTTCTCGTAATTTCCAATGGAGTTGTAAAGTTTAATGAGACCTCGATAATCATATTCTAGTCCACTGTAGCCTTCACCAAAAAGTTTCTTCCCTGAAAGTAACAAAAAAGGAAAAAAGAAAAAAAAAGAAAGCACAAAAGCACAAATAATGAGATAACAAGCAATTTCTATAATAGGAACAAGTTCAATTCTTTAAACAGGGAGGCTTAGGTTTATTCCCCTGCAAGGAATAGATGTAATTCTTGTATCAGCATCCCCCAAATCAGTTCATGAGCTATCACTAAGACTTTAAAAAAATTTTCTCTTGTCTAAAGCTGGCCTCACTAGAACAGAATTATAAAAATTCATGGTTTGAAGGAACTGTTTTAAAGAGATCTCAAAGAAGAACAGCAGCATCTCCAACAACAGAAAAATACACATGCACAGGCCAGTCATGGTGGCTCACGCCTGTAATCCCAGCACTTTGGGAGGCCAAGGTGGGTGGATCACCTGAGGTCAAGAGTTAGAGACCAGCCTGGCCAACATGGTGAAACCCCATCTCTACTAAAAATACAAAAATTAGCTGGGCATGGTGGCGCATGCTTGTAATCCCAGCTACTGGAGAGGCTGAGGCATGAGAACCGCCTGAACCCAGGAGGCAGAGGTTGCAGTGAGCCAAGATCAGGCTGCTGCACTCTAGCCTGGGTGACAGAGAGAGACTCCGTCTCAAAACAAACAAAAAAACCAAAACACACGCACAAGGCTATTCACTGCAACATTATTTGTAATTACAAAGTAACAGAAACAAATGAAAACATGTAGAATGGTTTAATCAACTGTGGTACCTTCACTCAATGGCATCCTATCTAGCTGCAAACTGAGGGGGAAATTCTGGGCTCTCTATGAATGGTTACGGAGTGACTGATGGTATATTGTTAAGATTCAAAAATGTAAAACACCAAAGAGTATCTATAGTGTGCTATCTTTTGTGTATGATAGGGAAAATAAGAAAATATGTATCTGTTCATTGTGTAAAAAGATATACAAAAACGATAAACCAGAAACTAATGAGACTGGTTATCAATAGTGAGTGGGTGGGAACTGGGTAGAAGAAATCAGAGAAAATGATGTCTCTGAGCATATCTTTCTGTATAGTTCTAATTACAGTCCATTAATTAACTCAAAAAATTAACAAAATAAAGAAAGATGGATAGGAGCAAAATTTAATATGTTAAATAAACCTAATTGTTTTGCAAAAGAATAACATAACCACATTGAAGGAAGGGGGTGTAAATAACCCCAAGTAACTTTTGAACACAGTATTCTGAATATATACTACCTTCAGGCTAAACAAAAACTGTAAATGAATATTGAACACTAAGTAGTAGGTCTGTTTTTCACAGTGGTATGGGTTAGCAACTCTTAAACTACATGCACCTGAGGAATGAACAAGTCAGCCAATACATTATAGATAAAAGGGAAACCACATGTATATGGATAAATGATTTATGATGAAGACAATATCGCAGAGGGAAAAAAACAGTATTGTGGCCAGGTGTTGTGGCTCACACCTGTAATCCCAGCACTTTGGGAGGCCGAGGCGGGCAGACTGCCTGAGGTCAGAAGTTCAAGACCAGCCTGGTCGACATGGCAAAACCTTGCCTCTGCTAAAAAATTACAAAAAAAATTGCCAGGTGTGGTGATGCGCAGCTGTAGTCCCAGCTACTTGGGAGACTGGGACTGGAGAATCGCTTGAACCCAGGAGGCGGAGGCTGCAGCGAGTCAAGACCATGCCACTGCATTTCAGCCTGGACGACAGAGTTTGAGACTGTCTCAAAACAAAACCAAACCAAAGAAAGTCTTCTGAAGAAATGGTCTTGGCTTAACTCTATGTCCATACTGGGAAAAAAAACTGAATCCCTACTGCACACCATAAACAAAAATCAGTTTCAGGACTGTAGATCTAAATATAAATGAAGTTTCCTGAAGAAAATTTTCTAGAAAAATATCTTTATTACTTTGGGAAGGAGTGAGCCATTGCGCCCAGTCAAAAAGATTTCTTAAACAGAATACAAAAAGTGCTATTCACAAAAGAAAACACTGACGCAGGCTAGGCGCAGTGGCTCACAAGGCCTGTAATCCTAGCACTTTGGGAGGCCGAGGCGGGCAGATCACAAGGTCAAGAGACTGAGACCATCCTGGCCAACATACTGAAACCCCGTCTCTACTAAAAATACAAAAAATTAACCGGGTGTGGTGGCGGGCACCTATAGTTCCAGCTACTCAGGAGGCTTAGGCAGGAGAATCGCTTGAACCTGGGAGTTGGAGGTTGCAGTGAGCCAAGATCGCGCCACTGTACTCTAGCCTGGGTGACACAGCGAGACTCCCTCTCAAAAAAAAAAAAAAAAGAAAGAAAGAAAATACTGATGCATCTGATTACATTAAGGACTGGCTGGCTGGGCACAGTGGCTCACGCCTGCAATCCCAGCGCTTCGGGAGGCTGAGGTAGGAGGATCACTTCAGCTCAGGAGTTTGAGATCAGCCTGGGCCAAGATTGTGAGACCTCATCCCTATTAAAATTAAAAAAAAAAAAATTAGCCGGCTGTGCTGGTACATGTCTGTAGTCCCAGCTACTCAGCTGAGGCAGGAGGATCACTTGAGCTCAGGAGATTGAGGCTGCAGTGAGCCCTGATTTGCACTCTAGCCTGGGTGACAAAGTAAGATCCTGTCTCACACACAAAAAAGAATTATTGTTATTTAAAAGGCTCCATTAGGAAACAAGCAATAGAATAAGAGATGATATCTGCAACACATGTAACCAATGAAGGTCTGTCATATTCGTATCATATAAAGAACTTCTACAAGTCAGTAAGAAAACGACAAGATAAATCAGTATAAAAATGGGCGAGAGTTTTAACAGGCACTTCATAAGATGATGGCCACAGATTCCTTATCTTGATTTTGTAATAGTCCTGAAATGGAAATCCAAATGTTCCAAATGTTCATTAACAGTGGAATGGATAAATGACGACATCCTAATCTAGCATATGGCAGTGATATGCAACATCACAGATTTTACCATTATTGTTCACCAATAAGTCAGACACATAAAAATACACATTGTATAACTTTATCAAGTTCAAAAACAGGTAAGCCTCATCTATGATGTTAAAGTTAGGAGAAGGGAGGGGGAGGAATGAGTGGGCAGTAACTGCACAAATACTTTAAAATAACTACTTTTGCCTACACATGACACTCTACTGTCACACTTCTTACTACTGGCTTCAGTATCAAAAAAAGCACCTTTAGCAAAATGTTCCAGATGATTTTTAAGTGGTTCCTGAATATCCTTAGCAACTTATCCCATTTAAGTCTATTTTATTTTATTAACTATTTTACTATTTTATTTTGTTTATTTTTTTGAGATGGAGTCTCATTCTGTTGCCCAGGCTGGAGAGCAGTGGCCCAATCTCAGCTCACGACAACCTCTGCCTTCCAGGTTCAAGCGATTCTCCTGCCTCAGACTCCTGAGTAGCTGGGACTATAGACGCGCACCACCATGCCCAGCTAATTTGTTTCTGTATTTTTTTAGTAGAGATGGGGTTTCACTATGTTGGCTAGGCTGGTCACCAACTCCTGACCTCAAGTGATCTGCCTACCTCGGCCTCCCAAAGTGCTGGGATTACAGGTATGAGCAACGACACCCAGCCCCATTTAAGTGTTTAATAACATCTTCCTTATACAACATATAAGACATGCTGACATGCTGATTTGTAATCAACTGACCAAAGAAAATTTAAATGTAACATACCAATTGCTATAGATCGCAAATAAAGTTTCTCAGCATTTTCATACTGATTCATGTCATAATTATATAAAGAAGCCAGATGTCCGACTGAAAGGGCTACTTCATAATCTTCTTGACCAAGAAGTTGTTCTTTAATCTGAATTGCTTTGATGTGCATTTCTTCAGCTTCCTGAAAAACAATTATGCCATATCAATCATTATACTTTTTCTCATCTTAAGTTCTTACTCAATGAGCAAAACTGATCTAAATGCCAAAGACATCTTATGAATGCCATAAAGTAATCATATCAAAAAACATACTATGTTATTCCAAAAACTGCCTATGGGAAGCATTACAGAGTTTTGGAAACCACAGATAAACTGATGACAGCAATAGTATCCTATGCCAAAAGTAACAAGTGAAAACTTATCCTGGTAATAAAAAATTGTTAGAAGAACAATTTTTTAGAACAAAGAAATTTGCAAAATTAATTATTACAAGAAACTGTTACAAGAAATCAACAAAACATTCTAAAACAAAAATTACTTCCTTTGGTTAACACAGTCCAAAATTTAGTTGAGCCTTCTTAACAAGCTCTATATCATAATATGTTAATTTACACGGGTATATACTTCATTTTTTTGAATTCTGACAATTTTTATTCCAATAAACTAAACTCAAGGTACTTTAGGGATATATAGGTTGCTTTTCAGGTAAAGAAGACCTCTCACTCTTTCCTTACTGTGATCCCAAATTAGTAATATTAAGAATTTATAGGCTGGGCACAGTGGCTCATGCCTGTAATCCCAACAGTTTGGGAGGTTGAGGCAGGCAGATTGCTTGAGCTCAGGAGTTCGAGATCAGCCTGGGCAACAGGGCTGGGCAATAGGGCAAGACCCTGTCTCTACAAACAATACAAAAATTAGGCAGTGTGGTGGTGTGTGCCTGTATTCCCAGCTACTTGGGAGGCTGAGGTGAAAGGATCGCCTGAGCCCAGGAAAGTTGAGCCTGCAGTGAGCCATGATCATACCACTGAACTACATACAGCCTGGACAGCAGAGTAAGAACCTACATTAAAAAAAGAAAAATTTGTAACTCAAAATTCTAAAAGACATTGAAGTTAGTCATATTTATTGCTACAATTAATAATACTTGTTGCAATAGCTGACATTTCTTGCACACCTGCCATGTGCCAGGCATTCTGCTAAGAGCTATACTTAGTATATACTAAGAATTATATATCAATAATTATATACTAAGAACTATGTTTGAAGTCAAGTATAGCAATCATATTTGTCTTTTTTTCTTATCTCAAGTACTACTTTCATATATTAATCTTTTTTTTTTTTGAGATGGAGTCTCACTCTGTCACCCATTGGAGCTGGAGTGCAGATCTCGGCTCATTACAATCTCCGCCTCCCAGGTTGAAGCAATTCTCCTGTCTCAGCCTCCCAAGCAGCTGGGACTACAGGTGCATACCACCATGCCTGGCTAATTTTTGTATTTTTAGTAGAGACAGGTTTCACCATGTTACCCAGGCTGGTCTCGAACTCCTGACCTCAAGTGTTCTGCCCACCTCGGCCTCCCAAAGTGCTGGGATTACAGACGCGAGCCACTGTGCCTGGCCTCATATATTAATCTTTTTGGTTTGATATGTTTCCTAATTTTTCATGATATATATATATATTTTTTTTCTGGAGACAGGCTCTCACTCTGTCACGTAGGATGGAGTGTAGTGGTGTGATTACAGCTCACCGCAGCCTCAACCTCATGGGCTCCAGCCATCCTCTTGCCTCAGCCTCTGGAGAAGCTGGGACTACAGGTGCGAGCCACCACGTCTGGCTAACTTTTTCTTTTTTGTAGAGATGGGATTTCCCTATATTGACCAGGCTAGTTTTGAACTCCTGGCTTCAGGTGATTGTCCCACCCTGGACTCCCAAAATGCTGGGATTACAGGCAAGAGCCACTGTGCCTGGCCCACGGTCCTGATTTTTCAATTTTATTTATATTTTGACTATTGTTTGTTTGTTTTAGAGATAGGGTCTCACTCTGTCACCCAGGCTAGAGTGCAGTGGTGTGAACAGTCACTGCAGCCTCAACTTCTTGGGCTCAACTCATCCTCCTGCTTTAGTCTTCCAAGTAGCTAGAAAGACAGGTATGTGCCACCACACCTGGGTAATTTTTGCAGAGACAGGGTCTCCCTATGTTGCCCAGGCTCGTCTGAAACTTCTGGTCTCAAGAGACCCTCCCATTTCAGCCTCCCAGAGTGCCAGGATTATAGGAATGAGCCATTGTGCTTGGCCTTTGTTGTTTTATACTTGCTATCCTCTCAATTCCTTTGTGAATAAGATAAGTGTATAATTTATTTGAGCTTACTTAAGATTATTTAAGATTCTACTTCATTACTTAAGATTAAGAGAGAAAAATATAGCAAAACATGATTCTACCTTAAATTTTCTCATTGACTGATAAAGTCTTCCAAGGTTTCCATAGTGTTTTGCAGTCTGTACATTAAATTCCCCAAAAGCTTTTTTAGCTAGTTGGAGTGAAGACAGGTGCAAATCATGAGCTTCTTGAAGCAGCCTCTGTTCAGTTTCCTTATTATGACAGTCAATTGCAATCTCCTCTAAAATAAGTGCTAAAAAAGAAGGCAATAAATTAGTGTACTTCAAAACTGTCTACCAAAGCTAATAAGAACATTTACTTTAAACTTAAATAATAAAAACGTTTACTGATTATATTTATATGTGATTATGGTTTGGAACTGGTCAAGATGAAAGAATTCCACTTTAACAAAAAAGTACACTTTTTGGTGGTCATTCTATTTTGCACAGTATATAAATTCAAATTTAAGAAAAACAATGGTATAAACGATTTTGCAGAATTAGTTTCTATTTTAATAGACTGCTATACTTTGCTGATGTGAATTTGTTCTTTTTTTTTTTTTTTTTTTTTGAGACGGAGTCTCGCTCTGTCGCCCAGGCTGGAGGGCAGTGGCCGGATCTCGGCTCACTGCAAGCTCCGCCTCCCGGGTTCACGCCATTCTCCTGCTTCAGCCTCCCGAGTAGCTGGGACTACAGGCGCCCGCCACCTCGCCCGGCTAGTTTTATGTATTTTTTAGTAGAGACAGGGTTTCACCGTGTTAGCTAGGATGGTCTTGATCTCCCGACCTCGTGATCCGCCTGTCTCGGCCTCCCAAAGTGCTGGGATTACAGGCTTGAGCCACCGCGCCCGGCCGTGAATTTGTTTTTCAAATTAAATGGAAGGACAAGGCAAGTTTTTTTTTTTTTTTTTTTTTTGAGATGGATTATCTCTGTGTTACCCAGGCTGGAGTGCAATGGCGCGATCTCGGCTCACTGCAACTCCACCTCATGGGTTCACGCCATTCTCCTGCCTCAGCCTCCCGAGTAGCTGGGACTACAGGCGTCTGCCACCACGCCCGGCTAATTTTTTGTATTTTCAGTAGAGACGGGGTTTCACCGTGTTAGCCAGGATGGTCTTGATCTCCTGACCTTGTGATCCACCCACCTCGACCTACCAAAGTGCTGGGATTACAGGCGTGAGCCACCACGCCTGGCCGACAAGGCAAGTTTTTAAGTTATGAAACTGTGTCAAGGAGTACCTAAGCACTTTTGAAATTTTTGAAACCACACTTTATAAAACATAACCTTTAACCAAACACAGCTAAGAACTGGTTTCCTCCTACTCATCTGACCAACCAAATCAGGCAAAACATTTCCATTTCAAAGCTGCATTCAAGACTTTCAAATTCTATCTAAAGTCTTAAGAATATACATATTATTTTACCAGATAATTTGATTTCTTGGAAAACTGTACACAAAGGTAAGAAAAAGAGTTTTACTTCGCTGTAGTATTTTTAAAAAAGAAAAGGTTAAAAACAATGGTAAGAGTCAAATTAAAAAGGTAAGGTTAAATACATTAGAAAAAAGGACATATGTAGAGACATGAAAAAATGTTTGTAATATATTGAGTGAAAAAATCAGATTATAAAACTAAAAAAAAAATTCATTTAGTTATCTTATTTGAAGTAATAAAAGTCTAAAATAATATTCACCAAAATGTTGATTGAGGATTGGTGGGATTTTAAGGCAATTTATTTTTTCTCTTTTCTATCTAACATCATGTATTACTTGTGTAACTTAAAAAATACAAACCTAGAGGGAGAAAAATCTCAGTTCCAGAACTAAGGTAGAACATACCCAACATGCATGGAATTACCACATAGGTAACCCAATCATGTTAGCAAAATAAATACATTACATGAAAAAGCCTTGGTGGTAATCAGAAGGAAAGTTAAAATAAGAAATGGAAGACAGGGGTATTTGGCAAGAGTCTTGCAACATTCAGTGTAACCTGATATGAAGCTCAGGATAAGAATCCTGCACTACAAAGCTGAAGTTATGAAACCCATCTTCTATCCATGTTGTGCAGAAACATCTGTATTATTCTTCCATGAAATCCTCAAAAAAAATTAATGCATGCATGAGTGAATGACAAAAGGGAGAGAGAAAAGAAATAAATTCTGGCTTATTAACTTTTTTTTTTTTTGAGACACAGTCTTGTTCTGTTGCCCAGGCTGGAGTGCAGTGACACAGTCTTGGTTCACTGCAACCTCTCACTCCTGGGTTCAAACAATTCTCCTGACTCAGCCTCCCAAGTAGCTGGGATTACAGGCGTGTGCCACCACACCCAGCTAATTTTTGTATTTTTATTAGAGATGGGGTTTCACCATGTTGGCCAGACTGGTCTCAAACTTCTGACCTCAGATGATCCGCCTGCCTTGGCCTCCCAAAGTGCTGGGATTACAGGCATAAGCCACCAAGTCTGGCCTATTAACAATGTTTTATGAGAGATGCAAACAGTCTTTCATTATGAACCACTGGAATCCCTTAAGTAGAGTTGTGGTAAAATGGCTATCTAGTAATACGTAGACACAGTATAATCCTCTGAGAAAATCCTCCAATCCTCTGAGAAAATAAACAAATATCCCTATTTTATACCATATATCATCTATTTTAAAATATCTGAGTCTAGATTACAAAGGATACCTTTCACCCTCTTTGAAGAAGCCAAAAGAAGATGATCTTCAGGTAGGATGTGGGTAATGATACCAATAGCTCTTTCTGCATGAAATCTGTAATACAGATAGATACAGTCTGGCATTTCTTTTTAGTTACAAATGATTTAGGAATTTTAAAAATCACAATCTGTAATATAATACTGATAGAAAGTACTTCTAAAACTATCTATGGTAAAGATTCAGCTTTTTCTTTGAATTTCCAATCTGCTGTAGACTGAACTTTTAATACCCAACAGAGACTCCCACTTCCCTCAGAATGAAAGAGAAAGTCTTTACTACAGTCTACAACACTGTAGGATCTTTCAGCCTGCTACTTCCCTGACTTCATCTCCTGCCATTCTCACACCAACCCTCTCCTTCCACTCCAGTCACACAGGCCTAGCAGTTTCCTGAACATGCAGAGCATGTTCTCACCCTGGCTTTACCCTCTCTGCAATGCTCTTCCCCTGAACATTCTCACAGCTCGCTCCTCACTGAACATGTCTTTCCAGAACAGATCATATAAAAGGCCCTAAAAAAATTTACCATTGGCCAGGCGCGGTGGCTCACACCTGTAATCCCAGCACTTTGGGAGGCTGAGGTGGGTGGATCACCTGAGGTCAGGAGTTCAAGGCGAGCCTGGCCAACATGGTGAAACTCTATCTCTACTAAAAAAATACAAAAATTAGGCCGGGCGCGGTGGCTCACACCTGTAATCCCAGCACTTTGGGAGGCCGAGGCGGGCGGATCACAAGGTCAGGAGATCGAGACCACGGTGAAACCCCGTCTCTACTAAAAATACAAAAAATTAGCCGGGCGCGGTGGCGGGTGCCTGTAGTCTCAGCTACTCAGGAGGCTGAGGCAGGAGAATGGCGTGAACCCGGGAGGCGGAGCTTGCAGTGAGCCGAGATCGCGCCACTGCACTCCAGCCTGGGCAACAGAGCGAGACTCTGTCTCAAAAAAAAAAAAAAAAAAAAAAAATTAGCCAGGTGTGGTGGTGAACGCCTGTAATCCCAGCTACTCAGGAGGCTGAGGCAGAAATGCTTGAACCCTGGAGGTGGAAGCTGCAGTAAGCCAAGACTGCACCATTGCACTCCAGCCTGGGTGACAAAGACTGTCTCAAAAAAAAAAAATTTACCATCACTCTCTCAACTCTTAGCCTACTTTACTCTTCTTCACAACATGTATTCTCGCCTGACAAGTTTGGTTATTTGTTTATGGCCCATATCACCAGATAGAAGGTAAGCTATTTGTTTTATTGTCAGTTCCTTTCAAACAATACCAAGCCTCCTCTCCCCCATCTTCCAGGTAAATACTAGTTTTCTCAAATCTGTCTTCCAATTTACTGATTCTCTCTTTTGTTCTAACTAATCTGCTGTTAAACTTGTCTGCTGAGTTTTGTTTTTTTTTTTTTTTTGAGACACGATCCTGCTCTGTCGTCCAGGCTAGAGTATAGTGGTGCAATCATGGCTCACCACAGCCTCAAACTCCTGGGCTCAGGTGATCCTCCCACCTCAGCCTCCCGGATAGGTAGGTTATAGGTGTACATCGCCATGCCCAACTAATTTTTTTTGCATTTTCTTTGTAGAGATGGTGATTTGCTATGTTGCCCAAGCTGGTCTCAAACTCCCGGGCTCAAATGATCTACCCACCTTGACCTCCTGAAGTGCTGGGAGTACAAGAGTGGGCCACCATGCCTGGCCTACCTGCTGAGTTTTAATGTCAATGACTACTTCCATTTCTAGCCATTTGTTTTATTTTTATAACAACTCAAGATGTAATTAGTATACCACACAATTCACCCATTTAACGTGTACAATTCAATGATTTTTAGTGTATTCACCAAGTAGTATGCCAATCACCAAAATCAATTTTACAACATTTTCATAACCCCATGATGAAAGAAACCCATGCTCATTAGCAGTCACTCTCCATTTCCCTCCAACTTCCCAGCCTAGACAAAACCAATTTATGTTCTGTCTCTACAGATTTGCCTATTCTGGACATATCACATAAATGAAATCATACAATATGTGATCCTTTGTGACTGGCTTCTTTCACTGGGCACAGTGTTTTCAAGGTTCACCCATGCTGTAGCATGTATCAGTTGTTTTATTTTAAAATCTGCCCTTTTCCAGCCAGGCGCGGTGGCTCACATCTGTGGTCTCAGCACTTTAGGAGGCCAAGGTGGGCAGATCACTTGAGATGAGGAGATCGAGACCAGTCTGGCCAACATGGTGAAACCCTGTCTCTACTAAAAATACAAAAATTAGTCAGGCGTGGTGGCACGTGCCTATAATTCCAGCTACTCAGATGGCCGAGACAGGAGAATCGCTTGAACTTGGGAGGTGGAGAGTGCAGTGAGCCGAGATCACGCCACTGCACTCCAGCCTGGGGATAGAGTGAGAGACTCTGTCTCAAAAAAAAACCAAAACCAAAACAAAAAAACTTCCCATTTCCTTTACAGGAATATTCTTCATTCTTTCTTTTATATTAGGGTTAACAAGCTTTTTCTGTAGAGGGCCAGATAGTAAATATTTTAGGTTGTGTTGGCCACACATTCTCTGTTGCAACTATTGAACTCTTGCTGCTGCAGTGTGAACGAAGCTATAGAAAATACATGAATGAATGAGCATGGCTATGTTCCAGTAAAACATAAAACTTTAATTTACTTGCAGGCCTAGTTTGCCAACCTATTTTGTATCTTTAATCATAGAAAGAATACATACTATAGCATCAACCAAAAAACAGTTCTTCTGTTTTTTTTTGAGATAGAGTCTCGTTTTGTCACCAGGCTGGAGTGCAGTGGCGATCCTGGCTCACTGCAACCTCCGACTCCCAGGTTCAGGCGATTCTCCTGCCTCAGCCTCCCGAGTAGCTGGGATTACAGGCGCGTGCCACCACATCCAGCTAATTTTTGTATTTTCAGTAGAGACAGGGTTTCACCCTGTTGGCCAAGATGGTCTTGATCTCCTGACCTCATGATCCGCCCGCCTCGGCCTCCCAAAGTGCTGGGATTACAGGTGTGAGCCACTGCGCCTGGCCAAAAAAGTTCTGTTAACTAAAGTTCTCAGGATTCTAATCCTGTTCATTATGTCTGCTGACGCAGAGGAAACATTTTCTTATGTTTTGTAATTTTTAATGGTGAGTTCATTTTAGGTAAAGCTTTGTCTATGAAATGTCTGTGTAGTTTGGGTTGACAGGTAATTATTTCCAAGTTTTGCATTTTCTCTCACATCCCAGGAAAACCTGCAGTCCCAAAGTGCTTTTTAATATTTTTCTGTTTGGAGATCCTGAGGCATTATCCCTGTCTCAAGAGTGTTGTAGGTAAAGAATTATGTTTTGTGAGGCTTCTTTTTGGGTTCAACTGTGATACCAAACTCAGATGGCCAACTTTCCCTATCATCTATTAATTAGATAAATGTCCACCTGTTGTCTTTTCCCTGGGGTTGTAGTCTTTTTTTTTTTTTTTTTTTTTTTGACAGAGTCTCACTCTGTTGCCTAGGCTGGAGGGCAGTGGCACAATCTTGGCTCACTGCAACCTCCACCTCCTGGGTTCAAGCAATTCTCTGCCTCAGCCTCCCGAGTAGCTGGCATTACAGGTGCCTGCCACCACGCCCGGCTAATTTTTCTATTTTTAGTAGAGATGGGGTTTCATCATCTTGGCCAGGCTTGTCTTGAACTCCTAACTGCAGGTGATCCACCTGCTTTGGCCTCCCAAAGTGCTGGGATTACAGGCATGAGCCACCGTGCCCAGCCGGGCTGTAGTCTTGACTCTGCTTCATGTGAGGGTTTCAGTTCTAACTCCCAGCCTCCTATAGGCTATTTCTTAAACCAAGGTTACAGAAATCTCTAAACTTTCCCATCACCCCAGAGCAGTTATACCACAGGTCATGCTTAATCCTTTAAATTTTAGTGTCCATTATTGGCCCTTGGAGGATTTCCCCCTCACTCTTGCAAGCTCAGTTACACATTTAAAAAGACAACTGTTATATTTGATTCAGTATTTCTATGTGTTCTGACCAAGAAGTTTTCAGGTTAAGTTTGCTACTGTATTACTCAAAAATTACTGAAGCAAATACTCAAAAGATAAGTTACATTCTACATGAAAATATACAAGTCTCAATATTAAATCACATAAAGGCTAAATGAATAACCTATAAATTAGTATGATTTTATTTATTTTTGGAAATAGGGTCTCACTCTGTTGCCCAGGCTGGAATGCAGTGGTGTGAATATGGCTCACTGCAACCTAGACCTCTTGGGCTCAAGCAATTCTCCTGCCTCAGCCTCCAGAGCAGCTGTGACCACAGACATGCACCAAAACATCCAGCTAATTTTAAAAATTTTTTGAGTAGACAGGGTCTCAAAACTCTTGGGCTCAAGCAATCTTTCCACCTCAGCCTCCCAAAGTGCTGGGATTACAGGCAAAAGCCTCTGTACCTGAAAACTGGTATGATTTTAAATGACTTCAAGAACATTTTAGGCATTCTGTTAAAGCTCCAGGAAGACAAATTCAATCTATAAAGTATATCAAGTACTATTATTAATATAATAATAGTTCCCTAATGGGAAAAAACAAAATAAAACAAAAACAGTATTTCCTCCTTCAGAGAAAAGGAATGTGGAACTTACAGTGCATTGTCAAATTTCCCAGAGCTATACTGGTGGACATAAGAAGAGTAGGCCAAATCTTCATGAGCTGTTGCTACGTGGATATTTTTGCCACCAAACACTGACTGTCTAATGTCAAGTGCTGCCTGAAAGAATCATAAAAATATTTGTCAATACTGTAGAAAATACCACCTAAATTAAACATCCTAGTAATTTAAATATATATCTATATGCCTAACACCACAAAATTATGAAGCCCAGAAAGTCCTGCTATATTTAAATTACAGAACACGAAAGTCACCTAGAAGGCCTGAATTTCTGAAGATAGAGTTTGACTTAAAAGGCAGTGGCTTAATAATAATAATCATTCCTATGTCTTGAGAATCAAGACATTGGGAATGTTTTTCTCTGTGTCCTTCTTCAAAAGTGAACTTAGGCCAGGCACGGTGGCTTGCACCTGTAATCCTAGTACTTTGGGAGGCCAACGTGGGTGGATCACCTGAGGTCAGTAGTTCAACACTAGCCTCGGCAACATGGTGAAACCCCGTCTCTACTAAAAATACAAAAATTAGCCGGGCATGGTGGCACGGGCCTGTAATCCCACATACTCAGGAGGCCGAGGCACGAGAATTGCTTGAACTCGGGAGGTGGAGGTTGCAGTGAGCTGAGATTGCGCCACTGCACCCCAGCCTGGACGACAGATCAAAACTGTCTCAAAAGAAAAAAAAAAAAACAGTGAACCTTAAAGTCAAGTATGCCTTGTCTAGACCAATGGCATAATACATCATTTACCTGAGAATGAGTAAGAAAGGCCTAAAATAATTATCAGCCATCTTTGTTATTACAAAGGCAGCTTTAGCAACATTTACTAAATCAACAACAAAGACAAGCCATTATATGGGTAAATAAAAAATGGAAAACTACTCCCAAATATAAGCTCACAACCCAACAATTCCTTTCCTGAATGATTCTCTTTAGTTCCCAAAGCATTAACTTTTACACCTTCTAGGCAATACTTAATAAAATAATGATGCAACCTATATTGGTGGGAAGGGTAGGTGTTAAAAAGTCATTTTTGAAGAGTGGTTTATACACCACAAACAAATACAGGTCAGCAAGTCAATATAGGTTGAAAGAAAAAAAGGGTAACCATTAACATACCTGATAAATTGCAACAGACTGACAGATATTATCTACATTGAGTAAGTAGAACCCATAATCTAGCAGTGTATCAGAATATTTTGGGTGTTTTGATCCAAAATGATCCCTATAAAAGGATACAAAATTATTAGCATATAAAGTATAGAGACAATTTAAAACGATATTTTTAATAATAATCACCTACCGTGCCAAATACACTGCATGTTTAATTAACTGTTCTGCCTTCTTAAATTCACGTTTTACTACACAAGCCTAAAGATAAAGTGAAAAATGGTTAACTCTCAAACAGTTCATTAGTGTGCTAAAATAAGTGTAGTTTATATATTCTGGCTATAACAGTTAATAAGAAAAAAACCCTCCAAACATAAATACAAAGGTTCTATTTGTAATTTCTTTCCAAGTACTTAAAAATTTTCTATTATAGGCCGGGCGCGGTGGCTCATGCCTGTAATCCCAGCACTTTGGGAGGCCAAGGCGGGCAGATCACCAGGTCAGAAGATCCAGACCATCCTGGCTAACACGGTGAAACCCCGTCTCTACTAAAAACACAAAAAAATTAGCCGGGCGTGGTGGCAGGCGCCTGTGTAGTACCAGCTACTCGGGAGGCTAAGGCAGGAGAATGGCGTGAACCCATGGGGGCAGAGCTTGCAGTGAGCCGAGTGCCACTGCACTCCAGCCTGGGCGACAGAGAGAGACACCGTTTAAAAAAAAAAAAATTCTATTACAAACAGATATGTATATAACCTGGGAAAATTATAAAGTTTAAAATTTTGACAGTCAGGCCTAGTACAAATCTGTCATAATAAAGTCACCTTACAAAGCTGGTATACTCCCATTTTTCCCTATTATTAAAATAAAATAATGGGGGCAACATTTACCACAGCATTTTCTAAGGTCCTTATATCCCAGTCCTGGAGTGGCTTACAACAATCTTTTGTTATTTTCATTTACTAATTTTTAAATGCATAGAATTTCAAGTTTTCTTATAATTTCTTTTCTTAAGAGACAAGGTTTTATGTTGCCCAGGCTGGACTTGAATTCCTGGCTACAGGCATGTGCCATTGTGTACAGCTCCCAATCATTTCTTAAAATATTTTGATTCATGAGTATAGCTAGTCGTTTTTTAAAAACTCTAAATATAATTTGTATATAGAAATATTAATCTTGCATAAATATTACACTGGCTTTAAATTAATATTCAATTATTTCAATTAACTCAAAACATAAGAATACCCCTGTTCTAGCTCTCATAACTTGAATATTTACACTATTTACTTACTCTAAAATGACTGACTTAATACAGAAATCTTGGACTCTCCCAGATATAATTTTGGAATCTATCTTCTAGTTGAATTTTCATAAGTAAAATAAACCAAAATGAACTATTCAACTCTGAGAAACTTCTGGGTAGAAGAGTGTATCTGAAAAGTACATTAATGCTTTAAGGCCTCACTGCACCAAAGCAGTAGTTTTAAACTACTACTAAATATCCTCAAGAGTTTATGCAGGCCAAGCGTGGCGGCTCACACCTGTAATCCTAGAACTTCTGGAGGCTCAGGTGGGAGGATCGCTTGAGTCCAGGTGTTTGAGACCAGCCAGGGCAACATAGTGAGACCCTGTCTCTATTTAAAATAAAATAAAAATGTAGAAGATTTAATGCATTTATTTACAGAATAAGAAAAAACTAGAGAAAAATCAAGTAAGGACTGCCTAGCAGGTCAAGTATAGCAAGCTGCCTTGCTGTGAGACTGCAATACTATGACAAAGAGATTTAACACCAGGCTATCCTTTAGCAGAAGAGTGACCAAAGTTCACAGGATTTTGGCATAAGGAATTCAGGTTGCTATAAATATTTAAAAAAAAAACCAACAAAAAGAAACTCAAGCCAGAATAGCATCCAAATACTACTTTGATCTGTACTTTAGTGCACTGCAACAATTATCAAAATGAATTATTTCACTGGTTTTCTTGGTAAAGAAAAATTAGCTAAAAATCTACGTGTGATAGTTTTAGTTAGAAACCAGATTTCTAAAAATGAGCACAGAAACTTATAAAACAGACCTATGTCTATGGAGTGTACAAATAACTAAAATGTTAAATAATAGTTAATTAAAACAAACTTAAAGCCTGATAAATCCTATAATTCATTTAATAATTTTAACAGTATATTTACCTTAGAAGCTTGTCTTAAAACATCCACCACAACTTTCACTGGTAAGCCTGCTGTAATTTCTTTCATTGCCTCAATGCACCATTTGTATGCCTAAAAAAATTATTATTTATAGAAGAGACAGAACTGTGGTAAATCAAGTTGACAATATTTAACAAGATGACTGCAAAATTTTTCTACAAGCACTTCAATAAGAACACACACAAAATGTTTACAGTTAGAATTTTCTGAGGCTAAACTTTCTTCAAAGTATAAATCTGTTAAATTATTTTTACTCTTAATATCTACAGCTTGTCTGAATCAGATCTTGTGTATACATATTTTCCAGAAATCAGAGGTATGTTCTCTCTTGCCTAGAAGCCTTTGCCATACTGTTCCCTCTGCCTTAAAATACATTCCCCCTTCTTCCAACTCCTTAAACTCATCTGTCTTGCAGGTTTCAGTCCTAGACAAGGTTTCCTGTGTTTTCCTATACATTCCATCCTCCTACTGTAAGATTTATTATTTTATGTATGAATTGTCTCTTTAGTTGAGTGCTTACTTTGTCCCAGCTACTGTCCAAAGTATTTTATGTGCATTAACACATTTACCTGACACAACAGCCCTATAAGATATGTACTATTATGGGAAACTAAGGTGTGGAGAGGTTAAGTGGCAGGCAAATATGCTAGTATCTAGGTATGAAGTGGGAAACAAAACAAAAAATGTCCTTCCTCTCCTGGTGCTCAGTGGAAGAAATAAAAAAGGCAAAATAAATTATCAGGCTGGCTGTGGTGATGCATACCTGTAATCCCAGCACTCTGGGAGGCTGAGGTGGGAGGATCACCCAGCTCAGATGTTTGAGACCAGCCTGGGTTATAACATAGTGAGACTTTGTCTCTATCAAAAATCAAAAAAATCAGCTGGGCGTGGGGATGTGCACCTGTAGTTCCAGCTACTTGGTGGGGCTGACGTGGAGGCTGCAGTGAGCCATGATGATGCCACTGCACTCCAGGCCTTATGGAGTGAGACGCTGTCTCAAACAAACAAGTAAACAAACAAAGACAAGTGTGGCCATGTTATTTCTTTTGGCAATTAAAATATGAAAAGTGAAATGTGCCATTTCTGGAAGAAAAGTCCAAGAGCCAGCAGTACTACTCCATGAAGTTTCTGCCCCTGTGCCCAGGCGGGTAATGTTCTAGATAGATATGTTCCAGATAGACCCAAAACCACACTGGGTCTTGATCAAACTGTAGATACAATGTTAAGAACAGCCATAGCCATCTGAAGACAGGGATATATTATGAGCCAGAAAGAAACTTTCATTGTTCCAAGCTATTCTGGGATTGATATTACCTCCGCATAGCCTAGCCTATCCCTAACACAAAAACATGGTGCTAATTCATCAAACTATGTCTGTAAGATTTGTTTACTTTTCTGTAGATATCAGTGAAAAGCTTATTTATCACTAAAAGATTGAACTTTCGAAATTATCCAAGACTTCAACATTCCTCACGAATGTGCTGAGAGTTGCAAAGACATGAATAAGGCATAGTATAAACCCCTAAATCCAAATGTAGAAGGAAAATAACTGTTAGGCTGGGCATGATGGCTCATGCCTGCAATCCCAGCTCTTTGGGAAGCTGAGGAAGGTGGATCACTTGAGCCTAGGAGTTTGAGTCCAGCGTGGGTGACAAAGCAAGATCCTCCCTGTCTCAAAAACTACAAGAAGCCCATCCAAACAATTTAGGTAAACATTTGGTTAAATTAAAACAAAAACAACAAAAGAAAGGGCTCTAAATTATACATGTATATATTTCAAATTCATCTCACAAATACTCCTTTTGTCTCATTTCATTTTTATTTTTTTGAGACAGGGTCTCACTCTGTCACCCAGGCTGGATTGTATAAATATGGCTCACTACAGCCTCAACCTACTGGGATCAAGGGATCCTCCTGCCTCAGCCTCCCATCTAGTTGTTACCACCACAGGTGTGTGCTACACATGCGGCTAATTTTCTGTAGAGGCAGGGTCTCACTTTGTTGCCCAGGCTGGCCTCAAACTCCTGCGCTCAACTGATTCTCTACTTTGGCCTCCTAAAGTGCTAGGATTATAGGCATGAGCCATAGTGCTCAGCTTGACTGATTTTGAATATTCCATTACAAATGTGTACTGCCTTATATAAACCTAATAAGCAAAAAAGATCTGTAAGAAAAATAAGAGAAGACTATTTGATTTACCCTCTGTTTTTATAGGTACTTACTGGTCACAATGAAATGTACCTTAAAACACTTACCTCATCATAGTGACTTTTTGCAAATAGGAGTGCACACAGTTCTCCATAGAGTGCAGCTTTATTTGCTTGCTGGCCATGTTTTGATAGTTTATCCATATATGTCTGAGCTAATTTAAATGTTTCTTCACCCAAATGATATTTGCAGTTTCCATTTCGCACATGAAGCAACCTATAAAACACAAATAACATTGCTCTATTTTTGATATTTCCAGCTTGGTAGACCTGATGACCTCTTATCAATCACCTAAATGACTTAAGGTAATTAAATGCAATTACAAGGCAGCATTTGAAAATACATGTGTGAACCAAATTGGAGCTGACCTCATGCCCATAAAGAAGTACATGCTCGTTCCTGAAAGCGTCCCATAATTAATTTCATCAATTGTTGATCCCTTATCTTCTCTAAATATTTTATATATTTTGTGTACTCAGCATGTACTGCATCTAAAAAAATGACATTTGCTCTTTTTGTTCCAAATCCACAAGTAATATAGCTTCAGTATAAGAAACTTGGAAAATAATGAAGAAAGTAAAATCAACATAAAATATCTTCTTTTCTTATTTTTAGTACAGTCTAACACTTGATCAGTTACCACTTATTTCATGACGCTTCATAATGTTCATTTTTCTTTCTAATAAGATAAATTTACCAAAAATACCAGTAGGGTCAACTATTTCTTGAGACGGAGTCTCACTCTGTTGCTCAGGCTGGAGTGCAGTGGCACAATCTCAGCTCACTGCAAGCTCTGCCTCCTAAGTTCACGCCATTCTCCTGCCTCAGCCTCCCGAGTAGCTGGGACTACAGGCGCCCGCCACCACACCCGGCAAATTTTTGTATTTTTAGTAGAGACGGGGTTTCACCTTGTTAGCCAGGATGGTCTCGATCTCCTGACCTCGTGATCTGCCCGCCTCGGCCTCCCAAAGTGCTGGGATTACAGGCGTGAGCCACCGCGTCCGGCCAATTATTTCTTTTAAAATCTTTATCCTCTATAGTGGAAATACAGAGTTCTTTACACAAAGTAACTGTACAACCATGCTGACTATTTAACGATATGCCAAAATAGTACAATGCTTCTAGATAGCAACAAACCATGTATCTATATAGACTATACAACATAGGCAAACAGTGTTAGTCCTGGACAAATATTTATTTATTTATTAAATGCTAGCTAGAACATTACGTTCATGTATCAAGCCAATACAACTTTCTGAAATGCTCAGTCTGAGAAGGAACAAAGGTATAAAAGCTACTTAAAAAAAAACCAAGGATGGAGAGGTTAGGAAGTATTCTTTAGGAGCATCAAATCAACAGATACATAAAATTTATTTTTTCTATCTATACCACAAATATTAACAGATTAATAACCCATGATGATAAAAATTCAGACAATCTTTTAATATCTATCGTTCCTTTATATAGTCAGGGAAACAGATTAACTTCAAAAGAACCAGGACTAATCAATAAAGTGATGACTACTATACAATGCCAGTGTGTATCCTGTCAACATGTACCACACAGTTATCTGCAAAATCTATTACCATAAGAAGCTTACGTTCTAGTGGTGACAAGGGTATTAGCGTGGGCAAAGACACAAATACATAAGACTTTCATTTAAGGATAAATGCTATAAAGATGATTTAAAAAGTAGAGTAATATGATCAAAAGATTCTCAAAGGAGGTGTTTAGAGTAGACAGGGAAGAATTCTCCTGAGGTGGTAACATTTAAGTTGACACCTAAATGATGACACTGTAGCCAGCCAAGTGAAGATCTGGTGGGGAAGCAGGTTCCAAAACAGAAGGAACTGCAAAATAGAAGGAATAGCCCCTGAGAAGGGATGGGGGGAAATTCTGGCATAGTCAAAGGAACAGAGAAGGCCAATTCATCTAGACTACAGTGAATAAAAGATTATGTAAAGAGAAATGAGAAGGCAGAGATAAGCAAGATTTTGTAGCGCCTTGCCCGCCATGGAAAGGAGATTTGGTTGCAACAGTAAGGGAGGTGATTTGACTTATGCACTATCTAATATAATTTCCTGAGATGTTAGAAATGTTCTATACTTGTGTTGCTCAATTTGGTAGCCACTAGCAACAGTGGCTACTGAGTATTAGAAATGTGCCCAGTGTGACTGAGGCACATTTTACTTTTAATTATTTTAACCTTAATAATCACATAGGGTTAATGGCTACCATATGGGACAATGCAACTGTATCAAGAATGCTCTGGCTACAGTGTGGAGAATGGATTATAGCAAAGCCAAGAGTGGAAGCAAAGCCACCAAGGCAGAAGATATTGTAACAGTCCAGAAAAAAAAATTCCTTGAGAAAAAAAGGATTAGTATCTGAAACACAGATTTGATAGCCAAACAGCTGAAAGAAAAAAAAAAATGAGAAATCCATAGGTTGAAATTTTAGAGAATAAAAAGAACAGTGCTTACTTCTCATTTCCACAATGCTAAGAATTTCCTTTCCAAAGACCTTCACTCTAAGTATTCTCCTGAAATAACAATCTGTGGAAATTATTTAGTAATTGGCACATGATGAGGTAACAAAATAAACACTGTATGCCAGAAAGGCACAGCTTGATATTTTCTCCAGTCCCTGCTGAATATCTATTTAAACAAAAGGGCAAATTAAACATATGGAGACTCTTTAAGGTTCTGTGTGTCCATCTGGGCTGACACTAAGCAGTATACTGAATTCAAGGAACTTGCGGTCCAACTCATTATGGTCTAATTTTATCCCAACATTCTGCCTAAGGAAAACGCAGGTTCTCAAAATGTGGCACTATCATGCAAACACAGTATTTTACTTTCACAATAACATAAAATCTTGTCTACCTGATCAACACCTATTGTCAAGAGCAACTACTGATTGTTCATTGTTTGAAATGAAAAATACACACATATGTAAGTCATTAGTTTACTAATATATTTACCATAAGACTGAACATGACTAGTTAGAGCCTCATCAGCCAGACATAACGAAAGTAAAATACACTAAAAGTGAAACTAAAGGAAAAGAATTTCTTTCCTTCTCATAAGTGTCTTTTTCTTACAACTAGTTTAAAATTTTGGCCGGGTGTGGTGGCTCACGCCTGTAACCCCAGCACTTTGGGAGGCCGAGGTGGGTGGATCACGATGTCAGGAGATTGAGACCATCCTGGCCAACACAGAGAAATCCCATCTCTACTAAAAATACAAAAAAAATTGCCGGGCGTGGTTGTGCGTGCCTGTAGATCCAGCTACTCAGGAGGCTGAGGCAGGAGAACTGCTTGAACCCAGGAGGCAGAGATTGCAGTGAGTTGAGATTGCACCACTGTACTCCAGACTGGCGAAAGAGCAAGACTCCATCTCAAAAAAATAAAAAATGGAAATAAATGATAGCTTGAAAGGGTAGAGCTGCATAATGAAAATAAAGACCAGTATGGGTTTAATAATTTTTTTTTACTATGGTGAAATATATATAAAACTTTGTGCCATATGAGCTATTTTAAAGTATACAATTCAGTGGTATTAATTATATTAACTGTATCATACAACCATCAATACTATTCACTTCCAAAACTTTTTCATCACCCCAAAGAAAAATTCTGTAAGCATTAAGCAATAGTTTCCCCTTCTGCCTTACCCCTAAGTCCCTAGTAAACTTTAATCTGCTTTCTGTCTCTATGAATTTGCCTATTCTACATATTTCATGTAAGTGGAACCATACAGTATTTGTCCTATTGTGTCTAACTTATTTCACTTAGGATAAAATTTTCAAGGTTCATCCATGTCGTAGCATGTACCAAAACTGGCTGAATCATTGTATGAGTATATATGTAAAAATGCCAAATTTTGTTTTTGTTTTTTTTTTTTTTGAGACAGAGTCTCGCTCTGTCGCCCAGGCTGGAGTGCAGTGGCCGGATCTCAGCTCACAGCAAGCTCCGCCTCCCGGGTTTACGCCATTCTCCTGCCTCAGCCTCCCGAGTAGCTGGGACTACAGGCGCCCGCCACCACGCCCGGCTAGTTTTTTGTATTTTTTAGTAGAGACGGGGTTTCACCGTGTTAGCCAGGATGGTCTCGATCTCCTGACCTCGTGATCCACCCGTCTCGGCCTCCCAAAGTGCTGGGATTACAGGCTTGAGCCACCGCGCCCGGCCAAAAATGCCAAATTTTATGTCTCTATTTATCTGTTGATGGATACTTGGACTGTTATCTTTTGACTTGTGAAAAATTCTGCTATAAACACTAGCACACAAATATCTTTGATTCCTTGCTTTCAATGCTTTTAGGCATATACCCTGGAGTGAAACTGCTGAGTCATATGGTAATTCTATGTTTAGCTTTTTGACAAACTGCCAAACTGTACTCCACAGCAGCTGCACCATTTTACATTCCCAGCAACAGTGCACAAAGTTTCCAATTTCGTTTTCTTTTTTTCAAATGCTTTCTCAGCAGAATCACTCGATTTCTTCTCATCCTTGCCAACACTTTTTTTTTTTTTAATTGTACCCATCTTGATAGGAATAAAGTGGTGGCTCATTATGTTTGATTTGCATTTCCCTAATATCAAATGACACTGAGTATCTTTTTATGTGCTTACTGGTCTTTTATGTATCTTCCTTGGGAAAATGTCTATTGAAGTCCTTTGCCCATTTTTTATTTTTATTTTTTATTTTATGAGACAGAGTCTCACTCTGTCACCCAGGCTGGAGAGCAGCGGCATGATCAAGCTCACTACAGTCATGATCTCTTGTGCTTAAGTGATCCTCCCACCTCAGCCTCCTAAGTAGCTGAGACTACAGGCTCGTGCCACCACAGCTGGTTGATTTTTTAAAAAATTATTTTAATAGAGACGAGGTCTTGCTATTTTGCTTAGGCAGGTCTCAAACTCCTGAGCTCAAGAAATCCTTCTGCCTCAGCCTCCCAAAATGTTGGGATTACAGATGTGAGCCACCATGCCCAGCCTACTCTTTATTTTAATTAATTAATTAATTAATTAATAATTACAGGTGGTAGGCACCTGTAATCCCACCTACTTGGGAGGCTGAGGCAGGAGAATCGGTTGAACCTGGGAAGCGGAAGTTGCAGTGAGCCGGTATCATGCCACTGCACTCCAGCCTGGGCAAAAGAGTAAGACTCTGTCTCATAAAATAAAGCAAATACATGTAAATGAAAATAAAAATA